AAATTATTATAAAAATGTAAATAGACATGGCGTACAGACTGTTATATAGAATGCTCACTATAGAGCGCAAATTAACTATGACATCAGTTTCATCTCTAGTGTTCTCTATAATATTGTTATACTCTTACTACAGTCAATTGAGACACCTCAATTGATGTGTGGTCAAGTGGAAAACTGTGTGACAGATCTGTGGTGGTATAAATAGTTGTGGTGATCTGAACTGCTCATACTCTCTGAATGGAGCAAGAATGTCGACTACCGCTGGGTGCGTCAGAATGAAGGATCGTACCAGGATCTTGAAGCCAGAAATACTGTTCAGGACCTTTTTTCCTTTCATCTTTTCTCATGATCACGGAGAGCAATGTATCACTTATCCTTGCGCGTGACGTTTCGTCAACATCACTCAAGGCTAGAGCGATCGATAGTGGTGAACACCTCTTCATTATAAATTAGTTGACAGCCCATGCGTGTCTGAGCGGTCTAGCGATACTATGTGCAGCTGAGCACTCCAAAATACCTATCAGCAAGATTATAAGCTCAGAGATATTTATATCTGTTGTGTATGATCCTAGGTGTAAACTTATTTGATTGTGAGTCGAATGCAGCTGGTAGTTTGCAATCTTGTGAAGGAAGTTGTGGCATCTAGTGCTAGGAAGATTGGAAAAGCTCCAGGGAAACAAGATTTCACGAGATACGACCGAGGAAGACCAGAGAGAGAGGGCCGCAGTAATGAGTAAGCTATAGTGGGGATATGTGCTGATGGAGAGGTCTCACTTACATCAGGCTCTCGAAAATATCCGCCTTTACCGTTCCTCTCTAGACGCTTTCCTCTTGTGTCATGAACATCAACGGAGCAGTGCAGCCACCGTCTTATCCATCATCTCCAAGAACGCTTTAACATTTAGATATAAATCTCGTATACTACTAGTAACTATCTTATTTTAGTTATTATCACTTTTTCATTATATCATTTTGTAAGATATTAATTAATTAATATCCTGGGCAGCACATGTTAGACTTCGACTTAGACACTTTATTGATACTCATCAACAAAGGTGGATAAAGTTGATAAATGGATAACGTCTCTCTGGTGGTAGCTCAGAGCATATGTTCAATTGAGCTCTTCTATTGCATGCGAATGTAGCGACAACAAGTATAAAAAAAATTGGATCATTAAATGGTCAATATTATCGCCATTATATATATAGTTTCAAAATTAATAACGAGTGGAGGTCTCCTTATAGGCTCAAAATTATTTTAGAAAAAAAACAGGCATTCTGACTGTGTAAGTGGGGTCGCGTCTTCGCAGATCTGAGCTCATGATTAACTTGGTTATCTGGTGAATTGATTATGGTGATCAAAGTAAATATTGTTAATTGCATGTAAGATGAAAGGTTTTAATGCCATACTTGATAAACATTCCAGAAGAATATACAAATAAAAAATTATAGCAAATAGACATTCGCACTTAATGTGTGAAGCATAATGAATCATACTTATTTCTATGACGCTCATAGTAAACATTTCCATCCCTCAAGCAATAGAGAAGGTTTTACCAATATTAATTGAAATGCCACTCTGTCTAGAGAACAACAGCCAAATCTATATGATATACCAGTTTTGGGCCTACTTAAACTATAATACATACATTGGTACCGCACACAAAGACTACTAACTTAGTGCGTTCGAAACTACAAATATACATACTTAAATCTCCTAACCATCCTGACTACTAAATCCTATTACTCTACTCATCTGACCTAATGCATCACAATTCAGACTTTCTCTACATTACTAGGACTTATATTGAAATATTTACAAGTGTGGACAAAGAGTCACTTGTTTAGTTTGGTAAATATAGAAAATCAGTTCAAAATGACACATAGGAGTATTCCACAACTGTTTTCTAGCAACCAAACTAATAACAAAGGGCAAAATATGTCTCAAAGTTGCCACAATATTATGGATTACAGTTTATATACTTTTTTTGTTCAGTTAATGGGGTTTTCAATGATGATCTGTTTACAAAATGTGTTTTCACGTTAATTCGCCCCTGGCATTTTTGGTGACTCGAACAATATACTATATAGTGATGTAAATTGAAAGTGAAATATAGAGAAAGATAGCTATCCATTTTACGAGATAACATCCAGTGCCAGCATCTCATCTTTCTGTGTATCCTTATTTTTTACAATTGCATACTTAAGGGTAGGCCAACATACGAGCATGTAAAAATTGCCTTATTCTCCATTTAAAATGCATTAACTCTGGCGATTGTACTATTGGAAATAATGTCATGTAGCTCCTGTCTGAAATTTCCACTCTGGATGTATGCGGTTAAGTCTTTTTGACTGCAGCTCTCCTTCATCATTGTGTGATTTCAGTTGATGGACATAAGGTCGTCCTCTTCTCTCTTAGCTCAGCATGTTGCTACAAACTGTGAGAGCAAGTCCCTTAAGTATAGGCTAGAAGCACCAGAAGTTCTGCTGTTGTAATGGACGGTCATATCTCCCCAAAATCTGTATCCTTTTCGTAACTACTAGCTTCTCGCTTTACAGGCTTCCAATCGTGACATGGACAGTAAATTGAATTATCATAACACGAAACTTTCTACTTTTTCACTGCCCCATGCTTGAAGGATGGGTTCTGTAAAGTAGTGGACAAAAAAGCATAAATTACCATGAACCCTTTTATGCCAAGTAGCGAAAACCTTTCCAGTACAATAAAGCAGAACAATCAAGTCAATCTCCAATAATTTGACACTTATATATCCTCTTTATATTGACTGACCCATGTCTACTACTCATGATTGAGTGTGAGACGAATGCGCATCCTTTAACTGATATGTAATAAGATTGTAGAGCGCAGATGATTTCCTGAAAATATCTCACCTCGATCCTTCTTGCAGTTTTCTTGCCCTACAAAGAGCTCGTCATGATAACAATAGAATTAGTGTACAAATAACCATTACTAATCCTGCACCACCGTTTTCATCAGAAACTGATCAAAGTTTATAAGTCAAGTTGGGTTTCTATATAGCCAAGTTGCGGGTATTTTTAAGCACGACAGCCCTATTCTCGGATTGATGCCAATGATGCATGCGCTTATTGTCTCTAACAAAGATACCAATGTGCTTTACATATTACGAGAACTAAAATGATATGGATTCTTATATGCTTTGAGACTGAAGGATTATATGTTAATGAGTATAAATGTCTCTCTTAGGTTACGAGACACTCACTGCTATGTTCTTCGCTTAATACAATAACGCTGGCCTTTTGCACAAAACTGTGAATAATAGCCAGCATAGAGTGTGAGTTCCAGTGTCAAATAACAACTGCTATATGCGAGATAACTTAACAAGTTCACACTCTATAAGAATATCATATAAATCTTTAAGTTTTTTTATAACAATTTTATGAGTATACACATGTTTCATTTGAGCGTGATAATTTACAAACAATGAAAATACAATAATAATTACATTAAATTAGTTATATGGTGCTTTACATCTAACTATGACATACTACAACCTTACAAAAATTATCTATGTATATTGGTGACTTTTATGTTAAATCGTAAACAAGATTAATTATAACAAAATCACTAATGTTGTATTTAAATGCACTTTTTTTATAATTGTATCAGCCGAGTTGAAATTTTTTTAGACTTCGCTATTCACCCACTGACACAGAACCTCATATTCATTATGCCTTCTTATGCTTGATTTATGAGCAGTATGACCCAGTACAGCCTATTATGCCTGTATATGTCAGCGTGTTATCATAGTTCATGATAAAACGATTTTACTATCTTGGAGTATCGAGGAAAGAATGTCTTAAATTAGACTCACGTTACCGACGATGAATAACTATTTGTCTGGTCCTTCCGTACGCTCAGAGACAGAATTTTACATCCCTACACGCATATAGGACCTCCTCTATTATCAAGATCATCATCTCTCAAATCAAAAACATAAGTAAGTGCATCCACATAACAGATAAGATATACAAATGACTTTAGAATTTTACATGTATATAGTTACATAACAGATGTGATTCTCAGTAATTTCATATCCATCTTTGACAAGGGTATAGTAAAATGCATCTTAGTGCGTGTTCAATTCTAGTTGCGCCTGGTTATTTAGCTTTCGGTGGCAGAACACCGTCTTAAACCTCTTCGCTGACTTCATAGCTGCGATTATGTCTCACTTCGTAGTCAACGGATAAGGAGCCACGGTCTGACCTCACAGCGTTATCAGTATTACAGTTAACATGCTTGCTGCCGACGACTATATGGTCGATGTACTATTTTATTTAATTGCTCTACCCCAATGCACGCTTGAGTGGCTTGAGTCGTTGACATAGGTAATGCGTTGCTAATGGGGCTACTACTGGTATACTTAGCTTTTCCATATAAATTTAACCCGCTTTAGGTGCGACACAAGGGTCCCAATAGGAGCAAGAGCCGTCTTCGCCACTTGATCAATATTCATCCTCACACTATTTGATTCATATCATCACAATAGTAAAATTCTCCCTCTTTGTTCTTGCGCTTGGAATCGGATGCCTTGAACAGCAACATCAACTTTCTTTGATATTTCAATAATATTGATAAATTAGGCAATTTCGCTGATATCACGTTCCAACTACAGGAATAATATTGCTTCTCGGCATAGAATTGGCTAGATCGACACCAACATTTTGACGGCTACTTCAGTATAATTAGCAAAACAATCGTAGTTAGAGTATGTGCCGACATTCCTGACTCACTAGCCAGTGATGAATGAGTTAATCTAAGAAATCTAAATTAAGAATTATACATATCTATACATATAAACATATATTCTATAGTTCATTTCACCGTGGAGGAGTACAATTATATTTTTGGTAGTGCTAAGCGCATATGTACTCTCTGGACTTAAATTGAGCAAAACAATGGCCAAAAAAATTTATTTTCTAAAAGCTGTTTATATTTATGTCATTGCTCTGCCTGGAATGTTCCACAGTATGACATTAAACAGCTTTACCTTATGTTTATAAAATTATGGGTGGTTTTATACCTCAAAAACACCTAGAAAAACAGGCATTCTGACTGTGAGCGGAGTTGTCCCTCTACAGAGCTGACCTGTAACTTGGTCTAAATAAAGACAGAAAGGTTTAATGCCATACTGTAAAACCTTCCAGACAAAGCATTTGACGCACCATCCACAAGAAAAGTTACACAATGTACCTTTAAACTCATTCTCCCTTGTTTTATATTACCATGCACTACCTAAATGTATTAACTTTTCTCTCACTGCACTGAATCCTCCTGACTGTGTCTCTCATGTTGAAACAATGGGCAAATTCAAGGAGCTCATGAAAACAACTTTCCTTTTTGATGAGAGAGAGGTGGAGGGCATTAGAATAACTTTCCAACGGCCATATGACCACAGAATTTTTACTTTGCATTTTAATAACTGTCTTAATTCCACTTTCTGTATATTTAATAAAGGCAGGGAAAAATTTAGCCTCTGTGTAATCCCTCAGTCGTCCAGCGGTCCATAAATCCATACTAGTTTATGTGGTCTTATACAAGGTTCATTCATATAGGGTTCAGTCCTCTGTTCAGTAATGTCCAGTGACTTTTTTAGTATCAGTACCCGCATAAATATCAAGTTTCAATACCAGGTTGAGTATCGATTAGTATTAGTAGGATTTTTGATACTTGTAATCAGTCCATTTTGAAATCATTTGGGAGCGAGTAGGGACCCTGCAGTGACAGAGGGGAGCCCCGTCTTGTTCTGAATCCACTGGTTGTAGATGGAGACTTTGGTGTAAACTCCGGGACGGTTTTCCTGAGCGCAGCCGTCGCCCCAACTGATCACCCCGAAGAGGAACAGCCTGTCCCCCATTTCACACACCAGAGGGCCCCCCGAGTCTCCCTGCACACACAGAAAAACAAAAGATATACCTCAACATTTGAAATTCACATTGAAACTTTTATGATTATTGGTAATTATTTAGTTATTTAGTTAGCTGGTTGGTTAGTGAGCATGATGGCACTTCAGGCTCCATCGACTGTGCTTCCAATTGACTTTACATTGCAAAACTGTCACCCCTCCCTCTGTAACTGCTGCTGTGAGCCTCGTCATGTTGGTCTCGCTCTACATGATCCTGTCTGTAAATAAATTCCTAATGTGGAACTTGGCTCCAAATTCTCTTATCATTCACACTCCCTTAGTCCACTTCTTTATACAGTCTTATACAGTCTTCCATCCATCCATCCATCCATATTCTTCTGCTTATCCGGGGTCGGGTTGCAGGGGCAGCTAAGTCTAAGCAGGGACTCGCAGACTTCCTTCAACCCTTTTTTATTCCCCACTGTAGTAGTTTTATAAAGAGAAAAAATGTACCTTACCAAACAATTATTACACCAGACTGTTGATGTAAATGTTTGTGTTGATAGAATAATTTTAGAAGTAAAACCAATCTTGCATTTGAAGGATTTATGTCTGAGCAGCAGCAGTGAGTTGTACTTCCTGATAGAACGCTTGGCTGCAGCGGACTGATATATGAGAAAATAGTCCTTAAACATGTGACGGATTCATACGATGCAAGGTTAGTTTTATTTCAAACATTATTCTATCAACACAGACATTTACATGGACAGTCTGGTGTAATATTAGAGGTGTGTTTTATGGAGTGACAGGATAACTATAGCCATTGATACACTAGCCTACCACCAGCGACCTCTGCAAATACAAGGACTGGATGAAATATTTAAAAAAAACACGTCTCCAATACTCTGACTCACTAGAAAATGAGGTCCTGTGTCCAAAATTCCACACTGTCCCTTTAATGTGCCTTTTCAGTTTAAGCTTCATTCATTCACACATCTGTACAGTGTATAATGTAGGCCAAAATAAGTTAAATAAAACCATTTGCTCAGAGCACTGGTGGTGGCTGGAATATTTGACATTATGTTTTGACAGAAATGAATTTCCTCTTTCATCAGTAATAAAAATAAACTGACACGGAGCAGGTCGGGGCGTGTCTAAATATGCACCTTTTCTCTTCACGTTTTAACATTTGTGTGAGTTGAGTTTCATTTTTGTTGTAGTCACGTGTACACTGCACCAGGCTGACTCATTGCAGGTTTGCAGCTGTGTTTTTTTATTGTTGTTGTTATGTACTTGGGCACTTTGGTCTGTTGTTAAAAGTTTCTAAAGTGTTTTATAAATAAAGTTGGTATGGCATGGGGCTTGTTGTTGATTACCTCACAGGCGTCTTGGCTCCAGTCCGGACGACCCGCGCAGAACATGTTTTCTGTGATCAGGTCGCCGTAGTGGTCGTCACGGCGACAGGTCTCATCAGACAAAACCTGGACCACGGCCTCACGCAAGACCTGGGACCGGTACCACAAACCTGAGAGACAAAGATCAGTTTTTATGCTATACTGTGGAATGTTATGGGCAATATCATAGAGACAAGCAGAAAAGGCCATATAAGAGTCAGGTTTGTGGAGATGCAAGCCCACTCAGAGTCAGGATGCATGTTATTTCAGTGTAAAACAAAGAGTTAAAGCTAAGATTGAGGTATACTTTTCTGTATTTGACCCATCCCTTAGTAATGCTGGGACAACCTGTCTGTCTGAGTCTTGGTCTGGACTATTTAAGCTGGAGGATTTTAACTATGGTGCATGTTTTGTTTTGTGTTGAGGTGAGTAAGACACAGAGGCAAAAATGCAAACTCTGCACAGAAAGGCTTGAGTGGAGTTGATCCCAGAACCTTCTTGCTGTGAGTTGACAGTGCTACCCCTCTGCCACTTGGCTAATAAATTTGTTTTTTTTATTTCTTATTTCTAGAGCAGCAGCCGAGAGCAATGAACTTTTGTGCTCTTTTTACTCTGAATGTCTGTTGTCTTTGGGTAATTGGAAATGTTTGTCTCAAAGTTGTGTCCAGACTTGTTTCTTTTCTCTCTTAATCCTCTCTTATTACAGCTTTGTTGCTCTTTGTTCTCTGCATTTGACATTATAAGGTCAAAACCCTTACCTTCTTACTACGATCAGATGAATCATCATTATATGGCTCAAGGCTTTGGAACAAGTGTTTACAGATTCAAAAGCTGAGGGCTATACCTACATGTAGGGGCATTACTGTGGCATTACTGGGGCATTTCTGGGGCATTATCAGGGCATTACTGGAGCATTACTGAGGCATTACTGGGGCATTACTGGGGCACAGCCTTCATAGAAAACTATTGACTCTATGTTAACTGAAGCTGAAGGCTATACTTGCATATAGGGGCATTACTGGGGCATTACATAACTGTCCCACTCAATACCATACAGCGGTGAAAGGTAACAATGCACAAAAGTAAAAGTGCAATACTAAAGTACAAATTTTACATATCTCTACAATATACTGTAAGTAAATATTACAGTGGATACTTTTTACTTTTACAGTACCAGTCAGAAGTTTTAGAACACCCTAATTTTTCCAGTTATTTATTGCAATTGAAGTCGCGCAAGTCCAATGAAGATCTTGAAATGGTACAAAGGTAAGAACTGAACAGCCAGGGTTAAAAAAAAAAAAAAGATAAAGGATACAAAACACAAGTCCAAGCTTACCATGCTTCTCTTTTCCATATCCAGAGATCTCACAGTTGAGTCCAGGCTGTAGATTCTGGTTCATTGGAGGGAGACACACAGATTTCACTGATCTACTCTCCTCTGCACATCGACCACCTCTGGGCTTTAACTTCACCAGGGCTGTAAATTACAAAGAAACAATACAAATGCTCAGAATAATAAATAATATATTGTTTTTGTTTTTCATTTCCTTTATTTATGCCTGTGAAGCACTTTAGGGAACACATTGTTGTAAATCGGCAGTAGAAATAAAACAACAAAAACAACAAAAGCCATTAGAGAAAGTTTTTTCTAAGACCTAAGTACAATTGTATTATCTTTTTGTGTTTTATTGTGTGTTTTTTATACTGCAAATGGCAAATAAACTGAACTGAACAAATGAAAACAGGCCTACATAATATTTTAACGTAATTTTAATCCAGTAAAATTTATATATATATAGTAGGTAAGTAATAAAATGCCAGTACCGATATCATTATTGAAGTTGCCGTCGTTGTTGTCAAAAGCTTCGTGGAGGATTATTTTTTCCACCCTGAAGTTCTGCTCCATCTCCAGATCAGTTTTGTTGAGGGCGTTTTTTCCCAAAACCACAGAGAAACGCCGCTCTTTGGTTTGAGATCTGCAAAACACAATTTAAACCAATTTACCAAAATATTTATACCACTGATATTCATAGTATAGTTCATATTCCTTCAGAGTTTGTGTTTGTGGGTAGGACCAAAGGACAACTGTAAGGGACTTTGACATTGGTCTATGATGGATATTTATATACAGGCCTACAGCTGGGTCAGAGCATCTCTAAATATTCCCTTCTATGGGAAAAAGACAGGGCAAAGTTTTTTTCGTTTTTTAATTAAAATATATCAACTGTATTACAGGAAAAACTCAATATTTATAGAAACATCATGTAAATGACCACAAAAAAATACTTGTAGTTACCATATTCCCATCCTAGTACCATGTAATTATTTTGCTGAAAATTAAGGACTATTGAATAAATTAACTTTTATTATTATTTCATCAGATATATTTTTCTTTATCTTCTTTTCTGTTCATTTTGTTCAAGGCACGTAATGTTTGAAACATGTATTTCATTGTTTAGTTTTTTATATTTACTTAATGTTAATGTTCTCTCTAAATTGATGTCAACTAAATGAAAATGCATGAACAATAAATATATAAAAAACATAACCAATATTTACCAGTAATCACTATTTAAAAAGTCTGCAGGTGACAAATTATAAGTAAAGTTGTAGTGAAGTTCACAAATTAACTCAACTCAAATTCACTTTTTTGTTTTTTTTTTTTGTTTTTTTATCTAAGATGTACTATAGTTTTTTGTCATTTCTTTGTAAACATAAAGCCACATTGTAGAGTAGGTTTCAACAGTGGTCATCTAGACACTGTTTTTTGCAATCAACCAGTGGCGCTGACAGCAGGGGGGCTAAAGGGGTCTATTGCCCCAGGCCCCAGAGTCTTAGGGGCCCAGAATAAAACCCTTCTCTTATTCATTTATAATAGAAGGGGGTCCATGTGACGCTTCTTGCCCCGGGCCACCAATTTTCTGTCAATGGGCCTGCATTAAACCATAAACCACCAAGTTAAAATCGTATCTGCACTGAACCGCTGCTGGACGAATGAGGAATTACACAATCTTGTATAAAACCACATTGTAGAGAAGGTTTCAAGGGTGGTCATGGTGGTTTGGACACAGTTTTTTGCAATCAACCACCACTGTTGAAACGTATCTACATTGAACCCCTGCTGGATGAATGAGGAATTACACTATCTTGTAGAAACCACATTGTGCATTGGGTAAACTCATACCCGTCAGGAAAGCAGTGCGCAGCGGTGAGGACCCAGCACGGGGAGATGAGGCTGCCTCCACATCTGAAGACCCTCTCTTTGGTTTTACTCCTCCAGAACAGAGCAGCCATCCAGGGCTGTGCCTCCACCGTCGACACCGTCCCACCAACGATCTTCATCATCCTCCCCCTCGTCCGAATGCCACAAGAGGGCGCCACTACTGCACAAAACACAGGGAAGAAAGACGGTTATAAGCTATCATTACAGATCCCAACCAACACATTTTGAGTGTACGTTGCACTTTACTATTACTACTATTTTGGGCTCTGTCACCTGTTTCTATGGAGATGTCATTGCTCTGCCTGGAATGTTCCATAGTATGACATTAAACAGCTCTACGTTACATTTATTAAATTGCACGTGGTTTTACTGCTCAAAAATACCAAGAAAAACAGGCATTCTGACTGTGAGCGGGATTGCCTCTCCACAGATCTGACGTGTTACTTGGTCTGGTTTGGTCTCCATGAAGCTAGAAAGGTTTAATGCCATACAGCAGAGGTGGGACTTGCAAGTCGTGACGTGGATTCAAAGTCAGACTTCAGAAATTTTTAGGACTTGAGATTGGACTTGTTAAAATGGACTAAGACTTGGGACTTGACTCGGACTTGAGGCCTGTGGCTTGAGAAGACTTGAGACGCACTTTTAAATCTGAATTCTTTCTGCTTTGACTGTAATGATTCACTCTAAGATCTTGTCAAGACATTTAAAAAGGAAAAATTTACTAAATGAATTTCTACAACTCTTATATAAATACTCATATATAAATATACCATGACTTTTTAAGAACAATTTAGTTTAAAATTCATATAAATTGCAAAAATCTAAGTTATTTGGTTTAAAGACTTGAAAAATGACTTGAAAGCTCAAATCAGACGACTTGGACTTGACTTGGACTTATGGGCCAGTGACTCGAGACTCGACTTGGACTTGCCTGTATTTGACTTGGGACTTGACTCGGACTTGCGGCCAAAGACTTGAGACTTACCTGAGACTTCCAAAACAACATCTTGATCCCACCTCTGACGTACAATGAAACATTACATAACATAACATCTCCATGGAGACGCGCAATTGATGCACCATCCACCAGTATGATATTAAACCTTTCTATCTTCATGGAGACCAAACCAGACAAATTATTGGTCAGATCTGTGGAGAGGCGACCCCACTCACAGTCAAAATGCTTGTTTTTCTAGACATTTCTGAGTTATAAAACAACCTGTAATTGAATAAAGTAGAACTGTTTAATGTAATACTGTGGAATATTCCAGGCAGAGGATGACATATCCATAGAAACAAGAAGCTGACGGTCCCTCCACCAGAAAAGTTACCCAATGCACCTTTAAGTAAATTTAAGTAATATCGTATAATATGATATCACTTTGGTATTAAATCTATAAATGTCATTAAGATATCCTGACAGTCATTATACATAGTTATTTCTGCAAGATAATGATGCAAAATTAAGGAATCACAATTTAATTTTGTTTAGTTTAGCATTTTTGCAATTAATTTTGACGCTTAACTGCACATATAGTTTTTTTCTCATTTGCCATAAACACTTTCCAACATTATAAGTGCATTTCTGATGTCTTATAACTATTTGGACTTGGACTTGGCCTCACCTGGATTGGGTTCAGACCTTGTGGGCACAGGATTGTCTGGATCTGAAAGAGAAGAATGTGATTTTCAATCAAGCAAGACGCCTCAACCAAAACAGACCAGAGGCGTGTTACAACAAAGTTAACCAGCGATTCAAGACTTCTAATAACAAGGACACTGGAAAGATTACGGAATAAAAGTAGATCTTGAATATAGATGTACTTTTGGCATTACTGTACCAGATGCCCTCCCCTCTAAGTTACTAAAGATTACTTCATTGTTACTTTAAAGTCAAAGTACACACCTACACTCCACCTAAAAAAAACATTTAAAAACAGAGCTACAAAACTGGGGAGTACCTGGAGGAATAAAGATGAAAGTGAAGAGGGTGTTTGAAATCAGAAACATTTGGCTGTAATCGGGGCAGTCTTGTGTGATGTTACATAGTACTTAAAATTGTAGCAGCCACTAGAGGCAGCACACACTCAGTTTTTGACCGTTTTTGACCAGAAAGCTGAAATTTAAAGGGCCCATGTTAGGTTATTTTTTATTCTGTTTCTGTTTCTATGTTACAATGTACCTCCGTGAAGTTGGCCCCTCATCAAATGCACACTTACACAAAAACTATGTCAATCGTTTGTGCTCCGTTTGTGCAGTTTTGTACAGCAAAAAGTTTCATTTGTGCTGTTTTAGTTTTTGAGATATGAACAATTCTTTTACAGGTCAAATAGGGGTCAGCCAGCCCCCCAGGAAGCTTCAAAATGCTCTAGAACGGCTCAAAATTGTGTCATTCGTTTGCGCTTCGTTTGTGCAGTTTTGTGCTGCAAAAAGTTTTGTTTGTGTTGCTTTAGTTTAAATACACTCAAATAGGCAGAAAATTATACGACACATTTGTATTTCGTTTGTGCTGTGACAATTTTCATTTGTGTTAGTAGCCTCTATTTCTAAAATGATTAATTGACGTAATTTTCGCTCAGCTGTGGAAAGGTCTGTATTATTATATAAAATATGAATCATTACAAAATATGAACAAACGTTAGGTTTTGTGTAGCCTGGTGTTTGATGGGGGGACAACTTTAGCAAGGCTGGTGCCACCTTGTGCCTTGCTCAATTTAATTTCTCTCCAGTGACTAGGTCAGGAATCAGAACACACCCAGAAGTGTGAGTCCGGACACCAGCCAGTCAGCGAAGAGTCATACATTCTGTTTAGGCAACGATTCCCCAGATCGAGGATTTAAAGCCGGAACAAAGAGAATGTTTGATGAATTTTATCAAGGGAAAAGACATTATTGCCCTTCTTCCTACGGGATTTGGGAAGAGCTTAATATACCAGTTAGCCCAATTAGCAGTGCATTACATACATCGCGACCAAATAGCAGTGATTGGTTAAATAGAAAAAAGTACCCGCCTACTGTCAACCAAACACATTCTAATGCTGGTCAAATGGTTTCTACGAAGTGAAACCGTCTGATGAATCAGGCTAGGCCAACTTCACACACAAACATACCTGTTTAGGCATCTGTACTTTACTTTGTGTTTTGTTTCATTCACACATTTAACACACAAACCCTCTCTCAAACTGAAAACACTCTCTTCCACCTTATGATGTCATGTGGTAATATAGGGAGTGCTCCACTTTGTTTACTCCATATGCCTTCAGAAGAGTCATTTGGGTAATTTCAGCCCTGGAACTGCGAATCTCTACTGAACAAAATGTAAGATAAGTAGCTGTTAACTTGAAATCTACTGCCTCATGACATCACAAGGTGTAACAGAGGATTATTCATGAGCTTTGAAGATGTAGACAGATTAATTATAAAGGGTTACTCAAACACACGTGAATGAAACAAAACACAGCTCCAGTCATGCTTTGATGACGCATTACAGCATTTTAACTTAACTTGACCTAAATCTCACAAGAATCAATTTTGCGTAACATAGAACCTTTTAACTTATTTGCACTTAAAATTGTCAAATAAGGACTAGGATTAGATAATGCTATTAAAACGTTATTCGCTGAGTTAGTGTTTAGTTCCGCTTTAAATAGCATCAAAGCTTTTTTACAAACTGTCTCACATTTGTTGCGTAGGCCCATCCTGTGAAAACCATTTTATGTGAAGCCAAATAAAATGATTTCACGACTGATTCACAAGTTGAAAATCACTTAAAACTATTTATAGACGGTTTATATAGTTTGGTAACTTGAACTGTAAATTAGCAACTTGGTTTTTCCAGTTTCACAAACACGTAATAGTTTCTCTTCACAACACTTACGAAGCTTGACACGTCATCCTCATTATAATCCGACAGACAATTAGCAATACTTCCAGGATGACTACTACGACTACTGTCTGTCTACTGACCTATTAACCGAGAGTTAATAGGTCAATACTATCCATGGGTTTTGGGAAAAGCTAGGATCTGTTGCCACCGTGATCAACAACACAAAACAAATAACAAAAAACAAATATTGTTCACAAAATTGCATATACAGGGAGCGTAAATCCATAAATAAAGCAGCCACTGGAATCTTCACAGTTACAGAGAGTTGAAAAAAGTACAGCAACAATTAGGATTTTAAGTAATTTCATGAAATACTGTTACTACTTCAATATATTGGAAATACAGAACTTGTAATACCCCTAAACTGAAACTAAACCTGGACTAGACAAGGACCAAACCAGGACTACAACAGAAACAAACTAAGTCTAACTCAGAATTAAACGGGGCTCAAACCAAGACCAAACCAGGACTAAACCAGGACTAAACCAGGACTAAACCAGGACTAAACCAGGACTAAATCCACTTACATGTCTCAGATCCACAGCGAGGGATGTCACAGTATTCCCAAACCAGCTCCTGGTTTTTCCGAACGTAGCACCAGGGACGACGCTTGTACAGGAGATTTCTATGGGAACAAAAAAGGATATATCATGAAATCCATAAAATAATAATATAATAATATAGTAATCATAAATAATATCCATCTGCCTTTAGATTGGGGACATTGATGGTGCAGAAAAAAGTTTCTCTACAACAAATCATATTAATTTTCAGTAAAAGTTAGAATGTATGTTTTAAATTTTCTCATATTTGATGAAAAAAAATGACACAATACAGACCATTACTGGCAAAGCAGTAATGCAATGTTTAGTTCTACAGTAGGTAAAAGTTAATCAGCTATTACTGAAGATTAGATAATAAAACAGTTCTTTAAAGTTCCGCTATTACGTATTTTTCTGGCTGTTAGAAACAAAAACAATAGTTTTTCATTTAAAGAGCTCATAATACACTATTTTCTGATCTGTTATAATGTTGTTTCCTCATCAAAAACAAACTGGAGTTGTGTTTTGTTTCATTCATGTTTAATCCACAAACCCTGCATATGAATGTGATGTCATGTGGTAAAACAGGAAGCGCTCCACTGTGTTTTAAACTCCAAACATCTTCACTAGGATCATTTGGATAATTTCAACCAGACTTGGGACCAAGTAAGTCTTAAGTCTTTGACCTCAAGTCTGAGTCAAGTCCCAAGTCAAATACAGGCAAGTCCAAGTCGAGTCTCAAGTCACTGGCCCATAAGTCCAAGTCAAGTCCAGCTCGTCTACTTTGAGCTTCAGGTCATTTAAAGTCTTTAAACCAAAGTACCAAATATAGCTTAGATTTTTGCAATTTATATGAATTTTAAACTAAATTGTTGTTAAAAAATCTATTATATTTCTAAATGAGTATATACGTGTTGTAGAAATTAATTTTTTTCCTTTTTAAATGTCTTGACAAAATCTTAGAGTGAATCATTACAGTCAGAATAGAAAGAATTCAGATTTAAAAGTGCTTCTCAAGTCCGAGTCATGTTCCAAGTCACTGACCTTCAAGTCCAAGTCGAGTCCCAAGTCTTAGGCCATTTTATCAAGCCCATTCTCAAGTCCTAAAAATTGTGACTCAAGTCTGACTCGAGTCCAAATCACAACCTGCAAGTCCCCAACTCTAATTTCAGCCCTGGAATTGCCAATTTCTACTGCACAAAAGATAAAAGCTGAAAACTACCACTTCATGACATCAAAGGTAGAACAGAGTATTTTGAGCTTTACAGATGTAGACAAATTAATAATAAAAAGTTACTCAAACATGTGTGAATGAAACAAAACACAACTCCAAGTATGTTTTAGAGGTAACAACATTATAACATGACTTAAACTTCACTTTATTTTAATTTGTGCATATAACATCTGCATTTTCTGCCACCTTGTACTGGTTGACCAAACCTTAAAATGACTCATAAGCGCTGGAATTAGCTGGTTACGTTAAAAGATTTTGTTCAGCTTGGTCCATTTAGCAAAATATCCAGACACATTTGTCTGTATATAACAATCTATAGTATACCTGCAGTAGTTGTGTCTCCCCTCGTTGATGTCTGAGGCCATATAGTGCCTCCTGGTGTCGGGGTCCCACTCCTGACAGGGCAGCCCACTCTCGGACCGTGCCACTGTGCCTTTGTAGTACAGACCCCTCCCCTCAAAACACGCAGCACTCGTATCTATAATAACAAAATAAAATAGCATTGTGTTAACAGTGATGTCTAAACAGGCTTTTTGTTCATATTAGAGCAGATTTCTTGGAGAAAAAGATCATTAAAAAGTCATTAACAATTGAGCTATGACACCACAAGTTGGCTATATTAAAAGGTACAGGGTCAGCCACTCTCTACTCGATGTTATTGCTTTGCCTTGAATGTCCCATAGTAGGGCATTAAACTTATCTCCACGGAGACAAGCAGGTGAGTTTGACACTATTTTCTCACTTAAAGGTACGTAACTTTTCTGGTAGAGGGTCCACCACTTTAACTCTTTTTTTTTTTTTTTTTTTCCTTGAAATGATCTACAGTACTGCATTTAATTTAATAATCTCCATGGAGACAAGCTGATCACATCCCCAGGCCAAGTTACAGGCCAGATCTGTGTAGAAGTGGACCTGCACGTATTAATAATGCATGTTTTTGTGGTAGTTTTGAGTGCAAGATATACTGTATTTGTTTAATTCAATACTGTAGCAGATGGCAGACCCTCCACCAGAAAAAGTGACACAGTGTACCTTTAAAAGAACAGTTTTCCTTACCGGTCTCACAGCGTTTGCCTGTAAATCCATCAGGACAGAGACAAAAGAGCAGCTCTCTGGAGTAAAGAGCGGGCACTGCCATTCCTCCATTCAGACACTCACTTCCCACTGAACACAACACACAAGTTAGATAATACAGACGTTTGAGTAAACATGAGAATATTAAAGTTCATTTAATAATTTTTGTCTTTTTTTTTGTGTATGTAAGAGCTGAACACTTAAAGGTGCACTACGTAACTTTTTGTTTGGGGGTTCGCAACCTGCTTGTTTCTATATATATATGTCATTGTGTTGCCTGGAATCTTCCACAGTATGGCATTAAACAACTCTATTTTACATTTATTCAATTACAGATGGATTTATAGCTTAAAAATACTTAGAAAAACAGGTATTCTGACTGTGAGCGGGGTTGCCTCTCCATAGATCTGACCTGTACTTGGTCTGGATTGACCTTCAAGGTTTAATATCATACTGTAAAACATTTCAGACAAAGCAATAATTTCTCCATGGAAAAAATATTTGAGAGGCCCTCCACTAGAAAAGTTACACAATGCACCTTTAAAAGTACAAAGTATATTAGTAATATCTATAGATTTGGTAGTTGCTCTGGTAGTAAATTCAGTAGTAGGAGTAGTAAAGTTATAGTTAATATAGTAGTATAGCATTGCAGTATAGTAGAAGTTGTAGTGACTTGACATATATTGTAGTAGTAGTAGTAGTAGTAGTGGTGCATAGTGGGAGTACAAACTAGAATATCAAGATTTAGCAATGCAATTTAGAAGACAGCACTACTACAAGTCCACAAAACTTGCACCTAAAGTTGAGCTCTTTTGCTTTGTACTTTATCTTAGCAATATCGTGCAAATGAAAATATCTTACCTAAAGTTTCAGTGGACGATGAATATGATGAAGAATAAGATGAGGCTGCAGGGAAAGACCACTCCTAAAAACCACAAAGATAGGCTTAAAACTTCAACAAAGCTTAAAAAATGTGTGCTAATTATTGTAATTTTCCTTACCGGTCTTGCTTCTGTCAGTGCAATCAAACTCCACATTAAAACCACAAATATGTCCATCTTTTGTGAGGATGTTGTGAGATGTTGAGACTTGATAGACGTGCAGATTTCATTGTGAGGCATGCAGGGAGCGTGAGTTTTGTTACGTCTGCAGCCCACACAGTTTTTGTGAGTCACACTGAATCCACTTTAAACTCAGGAAGTGCACTACCGGCTCCGGCATCTGCAGCTGCTACCAGTGGGTTTAAAATGTTTCCTCATATTTTGTCATAATTCTGTCACTTATGAAGCAGGTTGCCTAGACATGCCTAAAAACATGAGTAGTAAATAAATGAGTAATCTTTATTTACATAATGCTTTTCACAGATAAAAATCACAAAGTTGTTTACAGAGAGCAGGTACACCATAAAACAACAAGTAAAATAGGGTCACATTTACTGATCCACAAGGGAAATGACTTGGACACATCAGCTCATACTTCACAAAATATTATAATAACAAAGCATAAAAAATATAAATGGTAATAATAAATTCTAAACACTAGTGTCTTCAACTAGCCAGGCTGGTGCCACCTAGTGCCTCCACTCAATTTCATTTCTCTCCAGCAACTAGGCCAGGAATCGGAATACACTAGACGGTCTGCAGGAAGTTGAAGCCATGAGCTGTGAAGCCATGATGTCAAACTCAAGCATCTGTCTGGGTCCTGTTTGTGGTACAGCACAACAGTAAACAAAATGGTTGAGATGGATGTAGATGAAGACATACATTCTGTGTTGGTGACAATTCCCGAGATCGAGGATTTAAAGCCGGAACAAAGAGAATGTTTGGTGAATTTTATCAAGGGGAAAGACGTTATTGCCCTTCTTCCTACGGGATTTGGGGCATTACATATGTCACGACCAAATAGCAGCGATTGGTTAAATAAAAAAGACAGGTTTCCACGAAGTGAAACCGGGTGATGAATCAGGCTAGTCTTCAGCTAGATTTCAAAAGAATTCAGAGAGTCATCCACACGAAGAGAAACAGTCAGAGCATTCTATAATTTTGGGCCCACAGCCTGAAAGAACAGGTCCCCCTGAGGTTTAAACCTGTTTTTTGGGACCACCAGCAGGTTCTGAGTGAAGGAGCGAAGGGTTAAAAGGTCCAGGATGTACCAGGGAGTACTCTGAAAGAAACTAAAATTTTAAAATCAATCCTGAACTTCACAGGAAGCCACTGGCGAGATGAAAGCATCAGAGTGGTGTGGGACGTTCTAGTTGTTCCTGTTAAAAATCTGGCAAACACTTTAGTACAATTTGGAGTCTGTTAAGAGCAGTTTTATTAAAACAGAGTTGCAATAATCAAGGCGCAATGAAATAAAAGCATGAATAATTTTTTCCAGGTCAGGCTGTGAAAACATTTTACGCACTTTGGTTATTTTCCTCAGATGATAAAAGCAACTGTTTTGAGTGGGGTAGTAGTAGTAGTCGCAGTAGTAGTAGAAGTAGTCTTATTGATTCCTTACTGGCACTACACACACAATTTAATTAAAAATAGTACTTTCTTATGTACTTCTATCTGTGTAATCAGTGGTCCAGGTACAGTAGGTTCCACAGTGGTCCATGGGCGTGTACTAGTCTTTGTGCTCTTACTTGTTCTGATACAGCTCAAGATTACTCTAAAACTATTCTGGAAAAGTTCATTTATGTCCTGTAAAAGTGACTTTTTTTAGTATCAGTACCTGCTCAAATGTGTATCTAGTTTCAATGCTAGTTTTAGTATCTATTAGTATCTGATTTTCGATGCTTATAGTTTAGCAGATATTCAAAATTACAAGTATTAAATGGTTAATTGGTACATAGATTAGAAGTTGTCGTAAATATATATGTTACTAGTTGTACATCTGCATTTGAGTGCTACATATAGAAAAAAAAAAATATGAATCAGCTCCACATTTGGGGATCCTCCTCACATGACAGTATTGAGAAAAAATCCTCGCCATGACAGTCCAGCTGTTTCCCCGTGGTGATGCAAAACTTTCTCTGAGAAGTATGAGTAAACAGTCTAGTATAGTATTAGTAGTAGTTATGGTAACAGTATGAGGAGGGAATACCGTCGGGAATTAGGTCATGTGTGTGTGAGTTTGTCACAGGAAAACAGGACTCCCTAAACTGATAGTTTTAGATTTGCAGTGACATCAAGCTGGGGGTGTTCTACATGTGGCTACCATGGTGACTCAAGGCACACAGTAGCAAACACTGTCAAAAAAGGCTTTAATATAGTCTGAAAACTCTAAAAAAGATAGAAAATGGATTTAGAGAGCACATTTTCAGGAGCCTGTGGTCGATACAAGCGTTCATGGTCCTGTTTAGGTGTTTGATGTTGAGGAAAAAGTTGAGAGTGACTAACTGAAAAACAGTTTGTGACTGTAATTTTATGTGTGAGAGACTTCTGTATCTGTTTTCTGTACAATCAAAGACACTTTACAGAGCATTATTCATTCTCTCCTCACTCCATAAGGACAAAGGGTGTAGGTTTGCACAGGGACGGTGGGAACATGTCACAACCAGTATTTGGGGAAGACAAAATAGTCCCTACCAATATTTGCCATTTTATTTTAATAAACAAAAATATATATATTTATATTTATTTATTCCGATATTTTTCCAAATTCAATAGTATTAATTTAATACGTTTTAGTTCACATTTCCTTTATTAGACATTCTGAGATGTATTCAGTGATATGACGACAGGATTACCCATGTTAGCTGACAATGTCACCACCAAAGATGAGACCAAACCTACACCCTTGGCAAAGACACAACATTTTTTTGTGACTGGCGCCCCACTGTGGCACCTAATTTTCCCAGTGATCTTCCATCCAAGTACTAACCAGGCCCGGGCTTGCTTGGCTTCTGAGATCTGACGGGATCAGGCTTTGACAAGCTGGTACGGCCACAACAGCACAAATCATCTCACCTTTTGTCATTCCAACTAAGTCAGTTTTTTTTAAGAAAACATCAGATTAAAGTCTAATTTGAGTACCAGAGTGTCAGATAGACCCTCCAGTTAGCATCACACCCCCAGGGAATGTTGATGATATCAGCTGTAAGCATTAATCAAAATATCAATTCTCAGCATTTCGTCTGGAGGCGGGATTTAGTGTTCCAGGTCAATTAAAGTTAACTAGCTGCTGTATGCTGAGTTTTCCAAGGAACAAGTTAATTTCACAATCATCAAATGGAATTACAACATATATTAAGATTAAAACTAACCCTGATCCTAACCCTTACCTTAAAGGTCCTACATGACACAAAACTGACTAGGCTGGGTATCATTAAGAAGTTACCGATACGATACATACCTCGATACAATGAACTTTGGATTCGAAACGATATATTTCAAATCGATTAGATACAGTTCAATAAAAAAAATAATGGCTAGATTATGGCTGTGATGCTGTTAAGTCTTTGTTAAACCACTTCTTGTACAAAGTTCATATGAAACACAAACATTTTAATCATCAAAACAGTGAAAATGTCAAATGTGCAGCATAAACAAGTTTCCTTCCTCTAAACAAAGAACAAAACTGTAGCGCTGTAACAAAATAATTTAGTAAAATATAACAAAAAATACTCTTGGCAATATATCGACACAGCAGTCCATGATATCGACACTGTATCATCACATTAAATGACACAATATACCGATATTTAGATATTTTTTGCACACCCTTAGAATTTTCTTCTGAGCTTTAAACCATGTTACAGTATTGTTCCCTCCTCAGAAACATAACTGGAGTTGTGTTTTGGTTCAATCACACATTTGATTAATCCTTTATTTTTAGTCTGTCTACTTAAATGCTTAACTCAGTTCTGCATATTATTAATTGTATTTCTTTATAAAAAAGCAGTAAATATCATTGTTTTGACGAGGTAAGACTAGTAAGAGTTTATGTTATGACTAAGCAATGAAAAAGTGAGGTTGAATTACAAAATTGTCATTTAAAGAACACCTTTAAAATAAAGCAATGCAGCTTTAGTCCATGTATGAGGTAAAATAATAAAATATGTTTATTTTGCAATTCTAAGTGAGTTTAAAGGGGCCAGTCAGAGTCAACCAAAGGGCCGCATGTGTCCTGGGAGCTTTGGTCCACCTTGTGATGTCATGAAGTGGTAGTATTCAAGTTAACAGCTGCCCTTCATCTTTTTACCCTTATTAGTGTGGCGTGTAAACCAACAACTACAAATGGGATAATGTCTCCCTCTTGAGGACAAAATTGCACTACTACACGGGCAACAGCACTTACCTTATTTACTTACCTTGGAACGAATCGAAACAATTTAGTGTTGAAATAAAACTCAAATACGTACAAAAAACAAATAATGATAAGCAAAATTAATAAACTGACATTCACGTTTTGTTGTCTAGTCTATAGATCTTCATGAATATGTGACACTACTGGTCTTGGAATTGATGTATTCGGGGTTTTTTTTAACTAATGCAATAAAAGTTAAACTACAAAAAAAGTTATCATTGTATACACACATTACTGGGGCGTGTTATTTTAATAAATCCATGGGAGCATCTCAGGTGGTGTTTAATCCCGGAAGTAGTTAAGGAGAGATCCTGGTGATGCCTTCAATGTTTCTTTGGAATTAATACCATTTAACAAGTTGCCTACTGGTATATTTAAGCTTTTAGACACTATAATGAGATTTTTTCACGAATAAAATAATCAATCGATTAGAGCCCTTAATACATTTCACATGGCCAGACTAATGACAACTACTATAAAAAACAATACACTCCGAATTTTAAATTACAAAATATAACGTTGTGTTGCTTTTATTACGGTGAAATTTAAAATGGCATTTAATTAACTATCTTTATAAGCAGGCCACGTCATCAGGCCAAGTTACAAGTCAGATCTGTGGAGAAGTGGACCTGCTCACAATAATAATAATGCATGATTTTGTAGTAATTTTGAGAATTAATTAAAAACAACAAAACTGTAATTGAATAAATACAAGATATATTTGCTTAATGATATACTGTGGAACATCGCAGGTAAAGCAATAGCATCATAATGGAGACAAGCAGAAAAAGTTACGCGTTGCACCTTTAAAAGAACAGTTTTCCTTACCGATCTCACAGCGTTTGCCTTTAAGTCTGTCAACATTTATTTTCATTATAGTGTAATTTAAAAAACACATTTTATACCTACATCCTGGGTACATTTTAACTCGCGTACAAATGAAGTACTAAAATTTCAACCACTACTGAAACGTGAGGTGGTATATTTTCCCGACTGCCCTTGAACACGTCCTGTCCGTGCATGAGGTGTGTGCGTCGGGAGCGTGCGTCGTGTTGCGGAGGGACGCGTGTGGATGTGGAGGAGATAATAACCAGCCTACAGTTTAACCAGAGAAAAAAAACACGAAAATGGGAAACGGAGACTCCAAATTACTCTTCAGGAAAGCGGTGATCCAACTTACCACCAAAACACAGGTCAGTAACACGGAAAAACTGATAAAAAGCGGGATGGAAAGTTGCTGAGATGCGATGTTGAGTCAAGTGTGTAACAGATGGTGGCCCGAAAGTCAACAGGAGAGTTAAAAAAACACACGTGTAATTTGGTTATAAAATGTTAGAAGAAAGTTCTGGATCATGTGTTAAACGTTAAACTATCTGGCACATTAGTGAACAAAATAATAATAACTCATAATTAAATAAAATCAGGAGTTTTCATGCAGCAAATTACCACTGTTTTGTTGCATTTGAACTAAAAGTGGAGTTAAGATGGTTCACTGTTTATTCTAGTACTTAGAATGATGTGACAATAACCGAAATATCGTGATATAATATCGTCAAGGTTCTCAATATCACAATATATCGAATTATAAGTCTCTCTGATTAAGTTAAGAGTTATGGTGCAGCAATAACGTTAAAAAAAGCAAAGGGAACTACATAGACCATGATCCTTTGCTCCATTTGAGCGTAGACTACAAGAAGAAATAACAGTTCTAAGCACTTTTAAGTCTAAGTTCTTTGGATTAAGTCTTGTCAAGGCATTTTAAGAGCATATTTAGAGTTTTGTTAGCCTCCACAAAATATCGCAATAAATATCGGCAATAAATATCGTACCGTGAGGTTCATACCGTGACAATATCGTATCGTGAGACTTGGATATCTTTACACTCCTAATGTGTACCATAATGTGGTTTAAACACACTTTAAGAAGACGAGCTTGGAGCAATGACAAACTTTATTTTTATTGTTTTGTTGACATACTATAAAAAATAAAATAAAATAAAATGTAAGGAATTAAAAAAAAGAAGATAATAAATAGAGAACATTTAATTTGCAATGATTAGGCAATGATAAGGTGCTCTATGTAACTTCTGGGTCCGCCACCAAACTGTGAGATGCTAATGCCTGGAATTTGCCTGGAATATTCCACAGTATGGCATTAAACTTTCCATCTTACATTTATTCAGTTGCATGTGTTTTTATTGCACAAAAATAGCTTGGAAAACCAGGCATTGTTACTTTGAGCAGGTTCGTCTCTCCACAGATCTGACAACACCAGGCCAACTTACAAGACAGATCTATGGAGAGGTGAACCCGCTAACATTTTTTCATGATGTTTTTAAGCAATAAAAACAAATTACAGGAAAAGCAATTGCATCTCCTTTGGGACTGGACCCACCATTGGAAAAGTTACACAATGAACCTTTAAATGATCTGTTATTCTCACACATTAACTAAATCATTAAAGTCTTTGTTGTGGTTTTTCATATTTTTCATGTGTAGCCCGTGGAGGCCTCCGATGACGCGTTTTGGGATCAGTTTTGGTGCGAGACTCACACGACGATTCACGACATGTTCACTCTGGTCCCAGCCGCAGAGATCAGAGCCGTGAGAGAAGAATCACCGTCCAATCTGGCAACCCTCTGCTATAAGGTAAAACATTAACTGTATATCTCAGGTTTGTTTATTGAACATTTTTAACATTACCAAACAGACAGAGTGCATTATATTGGATAATTGTTCTTCAAGTGTTACAGTATTACAAAGGACACATTCTATTGTCTATATTTTAGTCGCTCTCCAGATACCGAGGAAGAGTTAAAGAATCTAAGAGTCACATAAAAAGGGGTCACACATAATATTTACTTTAAACTAGCAAATTTGTATGAAAACAATCCCAAATTTTCATCATTCTGAAACCTATGGATTGATAATATGGACTGTAGGGTGGTACAGTCCACTTTGTAGCCTCAAAATAAGGAGGTTCTGGGTTCAGTACTGGGTGGGGTATTTTTATGCTATGTCTGCATGTTCTCCCTGTGTGTGGGTGGGTTTCCTCTGGGCACTTCCCCATCAACCCAAAATATGCACCATTACGTACCACTTTGTAGTCCTGACCAAGATCTTAGCTCAAGATCTGAAAAGGGGTCCCCAAACGCAACATTAATGTAAAGGTGCACTATGTAACGTTTTAGTTTGGGGTGCGTCACCTGCTTGTTTTCATGGATTTGTCAAAAAAAACAGGCATTCTGACTGTGACCACAGATCTGACCTGTAACTTGGTCTGGTTTATTCTCCATGAAGATAGAAAGGTTTAATACCATACTGTGAAACATTCCAGTAAGGGTGTAACAATAACCAAAATGTATCATTAAAAGTCTCTCAATAATCACATCATCACAATATATCGAATCACAAGTGTCTTTGCTTAAATTAAGTTTTGGTGCAGCAGTAGCTAAAAAAACAGAGGGAACTAGATGCCATGATCCTTGGCTCCATTTTGGTGCAAACTACATGAAGAAATAGCAGTTCTAAACACTTTGAAATCTTAGTTCTTTGAATTAAGGGTCATTCCACGCCAAATCTTCAAATGCCCATGTCCGACCATCTTAGATTTGACTGAAAAAATTCTAGGACACACTCTTTCCAATAGAAAAAATCCCAAATTTTAGCTCCCAGCTCCATATAGTTTTGTATGGAGAAATCTGTGATAAATCAAAAGCACATGTGTAAAATTTTAACCCTAAACCTTTAAACCTTGAAAATTTGAAGGATCTACCTTAAATGTTTTTTTAGATACAGCAATCTGAAAGTGGCTCCTTGGACAACTCTGCTCTAAACAGGTCAGGGGAGAGTTGACAGAATATTTATAATGACAAAACTGTAAAGAGTTGGGAGCTAAAATTTGCGACTTTTCCTATGCAAAAGTGTGTGAATTTTTTCAGTCAAATCTGAGATGGTCGGGCGGGGGCATCCGGAGATTTGGCAAGGAATGACCCTTAAGTCCAGTCAAGGCATTTTAAGAGGAAAAAGTACCACATTCCCTATTTTGTTAACCTCCACAAAATATCGCAATAAATCTCGTACCGTAAGATGTATATTATGAAAATATTGTACCCTGAGATTTGGATATCGTTACATCTCTGCATTCCAGACAAAACGATAACATCTCCTTGAGGGATAGCATTTAACAGACCCTCCACCAGAAAAGTAATCTAATCCCTTCATCTGATATGTACCATTGATAGAGTATAAATATATGTTTAAAGAGAATGACAGACACATTCTGTCTGACTGTGCCGCTGTGAAGTCTGTGCTGTTCCCGGAAACACAGAATAAAGGAATGCAACGTTTGATTTTCCCACTCTTTAACTGTTCCTCAAACACAACGTCACAAAGAAGCAGGTGGATTGTAAAGTGATGAATTAGATATTGAGTAGCACAGTCCTGAATACCCTTTTTGTAGTAGCTGTACCCGTTCTTTTTCATTCTGTTCCCCTTATTGCCCCAATTGCCTTTATGTGTTTTTAAAGGTGCACTATATAACTTTAATGGGGGAGGGTCTGCCAAATGCTTGTTTCCCGGAGATGTTATTGCTTTGCCTGGAATGATCCACAGTATGGCATTAAACCCCAACTTTCTCTACATATTCGAAGCGTTTGTCCCACCCAGAACTGGCAGACGGGTCTGTTGTATCTAGCGCCCCCCTGGCTGCAGGATCTAGAGGCTGTCTGTCAATATTCTGGGGTCGACTGCACTTCCCTCCGGTTGTTAGTCTTGTCGTTATGTCTGTACCGTGTTTTTCTTGTATGTGCTGATGTTACGGAGGGGTTTCTTGTTTTTCTTTGTGTACTGGTTCCAGATAGTTGTAAAAAGATAGTTATAAATTGTTTTTAATCACTGTAAAGCACATTGTGTTGAATTTTTTGTATGAAAATCGCTCTATAAATAAAGTTTGATTGAATGACTGAAATTATCTGTCTGGATGGGGATTCCATATGTGTACAAATGATGTCAAAACGACTCTTTTTAGATCATACTGTACCATACTGTAATGATGCTCTCAGAATACCGCTAAATACTCTAAGGTGGGAAAGTGCTAGGCTTTGTTTGTTACTGCAAATATTCCCACGTTCCAGGCTCTAATGAGGAAACTCATGTATACATTTATGTACGTGTATGTTAAATGAATCAAGAAATGGAATTATAACTTGCTTGACTGATATTAAGGAAAGTGACACCCAATATTAGTCTGATATCTGGAAATATTGGAAGAGCCACCTATATGTATTGTAATTCTACTGGACCTTACGTTACTGTAGGTTTTTTGTTTTTTTTAATGTATTGTGGGTGTGTATCCTTCTGTGTACGCTTTGGACCCTGAGTCTGTAAAATAAAGTTTTATATATATAAGTAGGTAATGCCACCAAGCCAAGGTACAGGTCAGATCTGTGCAGAGGCAAGTCCATTCACAGTAAGACACATTAACATTTGAGCAAGTCTAAAATTTGAACTGCTAAACTAATTCAGTAATTCCATGCATTTCAGAATGTTTATAGAGGTCTAAACTTTTTTCAGTAACAAGATATTTTTTTGTTTACACACAATATGGCAATTGCAGTCTTTGCCGTTTGATAATTGTACCTACACAAATTGCGATTTCAATTTGATCATAATATATTGTGCATCTTAATTTTATAAAAATTTTAGGGGGCAGGAGTGCTATTGGATTACAGAGATTGTGCAGAATTGTCCTTTTCGTGTCTTCAGTGTAGGGACCAGTCTCAATTACAAAGTTGAAAAAAAACTGAGGCACTCAAAAAGTACAATATAATTAAAAGCCTTTGATACCATATGGTAGGTAAAGTTAAAATCACGCCAACGCATTTCAGCCCTTCTGCCTTCATCAGCACAAACTCAACTCTGTATTTTTTCATCTTTATTTTATCTTAATAAAGTTTGTGTATGTTTTGACCCCAGGCGGTGGAGAAGATGGTGCAGGGTGCATCTTGTGGTGTCCCTTCGGAAAGAGAGAGACAGATCGTTTTGAACTGCACTCGTTTACTGACCCGGATCCTGCCCTACATCTTTGAGGATCCAGACTGGAGGGGGTTTTTCTGGTCCACAGTCCCAGGAACAGGACGGGTAAGATCTGCACTAATACAAACTGTAAATACGTGAACAGTGTTGAAAATAATACAATGTGTTAACTGTATTTGGAGCGGCTTAAAATGAGCTGGAACACGTATTAGGCAAAATGGATGATGATTGTGGTGTGAAGGAGCTCTGAAGGGAGGGTGACTTAGCATAGAGAGCAAAGGGAGGAGGGACTCGGAGCAAAAACTAACCTGAAGCTTACTAAACATGTTAACACGCTGTTTTCAGTGATAATAGCATTTCAAAATTATAAACTGTAACATGGTTGTTTTATTATTTAAGTATTTATCTAAGATCAAAGCATTGGGGCACCTTTTCATGATTGTTATTGGTAAAAACTTCCGGATATTTCAAGCTTTTAAGACTTGTTTCCTCCCTGCATTCCTGTCCTCTTAGTGTATTTCCTTTTGCTGCCAGTATTCAGTACATAATGGTCCATTCTTAAGTCAAACCTGAAATAATTTCTAAATGTCAGAGGATTTACACCTGCACCTGAGTCCCACACTTTAATTAAGAGACATTTGATCTGTCCTGGTCTAGTCCTGGCTCAGTCCTGGTTTAATCTTGGGTCCAGACCAGGACTGGGAGGAGGGGTGTTTGACAATGTGGGCACTGTTCAGACCGAAGTCACAAAACGTTTAGAAACTTGACACTTGCAGCTGAGAGACAAGAGACTAGATATCAGCGAGGCCAACAGATTTTATTTGTGTTTGTTTATGTATCTATATTTTTTATTTTATTAAGAGATAGGTATCCTTTGACACTTTTTTTTATATGTAAACAAGCCCCAAACACAGTGTAATACAGTTGTAAACTATGTCATTTTCTTGTCTGCCCAGCATGGATATGTTAGTGTTTTCCCTGGAAAGTTTCACAGTTTCACATTAAAGTTGTCTGTGCTGCATTTATTCAATTGTAAGTGTCACCTGCTTGTGTCCATGGAGTACAAGTTTAATGCCATACTGTGGAACATTGCAGGGCTTTGTTGTTACCTGAATGTTTACAAAATGTATGAATATGTGCGTGAATTGTTTAGTATTTTCTTGGTGTAAAAATGCTTAGAGCTTCCACTGGAAATTTAAAGCGCTGCATACTTTTACATTAACAATTATAGGACCTACTCATTGACTCATCTCTTAGTATTTAACCTGAGTAACCTTTAACTTCTTCTGTAGCATTTGGATGAAGAGGGAGAAGATGAGGACCAGTGTCGCCCCCTGGCTGAGTCTCTGCTCCTCTCCATCGCAGATCTGCTCTTCTGTCCAGACTTCACTGTCCACAGCCACAACAAGAGAGGACCTGTGAGTTACTGAAAACACTGTACATATATGGGCAACATGGCATGGTGGTATTGCAGTAGTAACAGTTTATTTGACTTAATAAATATCAAAGTTTAGGCTTTTAATCCGTAACCTCCTATTCAGTGTGCACAACATGAAGTACTTGCTGTCATGAAACACTTTGTAGTCCTCGTTATCTCTGAGGTTTCCTTTACATGATGACTTTGAGCGCTTTGAGTGCCTTGAAGGTGGAAAAGCGCTATAGAAAAATGTGACCATTTACCATTTACCATGACGGTCTGAACAGAAGACGCAAAAATGGTGTTGCTTCTTCACTTTTTATTCTGCGTTTAGACAAGCGTTTTCGGGAGGAAATCTGCGTGCATGCAGTGATGCTAAAGTGTGTGGATTGGGTAAGCATGCCAGCTGGCTCGGTATTGATGTATGTGACGTAAACGCGTATGCGATGTGAGCAGATCTGACCAGAGTTTTGTGTCTTGGGCAGTGTAGACAGAAACGCTACGGTAGCGTATTCAACTTTTCCACTCTGGAGGGTGGTTTCAGATTTTTGCATTTTTAAGCAAAGGTTAATCTAATGAAGTGTCGGACTGAGTTGGTGAAGTGAAAGAGAACATGAAGCTACGTGTGGGAGAAAAGGGTGAAGATGAGGAAGTTTGATACGTTGCAAAAGATCCAGACATTTTAACTTCTTCCTTTAAAGGTGCACTGTGTCACTTTTCTAGTAGAGGGTCCACGACATGCTTGTCTCCATGGGGATGTGGCTTTTGCATTTATTCCATTTGGTGATTTTATCGCTTAAAAGTGTCATGAAATTATGACACACTGAGACGCCTTTCCATCTGCTCAGTATATAGGCCTAGTTGCATTTCTACCTATCTTCATGGAGATAGATGATTTAAATGCTTCACTGTGGAACATTTCAAACAAAGCAATGACATCTCCATGGAGAAAAGCATTTTACGGACCCTCCACAAGAAAGTTCCACAGTGCACCTTTAACTAAATCCTTCTTTAAGTTGTATATTTTGGTCCTGAGAAGCCGATTGGTTAATGTGTGACCAGAGGAGTGGAGTGTTTGACAAATGGGCAGAGGAGAAACAGCCTTATCCTCAGTATTAAACAAACAGGAGACGTGTGGAGCGAGTCTGGCTTTGAGCTCATTATAAACCAGCTCTAAACCTCCTCAGGACATAGGACAGTTAATGGAGCAGTCAGGAAACTACAACTACTGCATTTTCCATTACTTACCAGTTTATTTTGTAAGGACATGGGCTGGGAACTTAAAATAATTCTGATTTAACACTATAACTAGTCACATTTCTTCCAGCTCCAAACCACATTTTTACTGACAAAGGATTAGTGTGGAGCTCTCAGTTGATTTTGATTAGATCTGATCTTAATTAAAATGTGATTAATGAAACCACTGTAGTTTATGCAATGTCTTATGTTTTATACCTTGTCTATAAAACATGAATTTTAGTTTCACTACCGTTTTTAGGCATGCAGAGATCGGTTTGCAACTGTTCTTTATCCTCCAAGTAACAACAATTCATGCTTTGTATGAATAAAACTTCAAATAATATGAAATGTTCTACAAATTCACTTGTAAATAGTCTTTTTACATCCAATTAAGATATCTGCTTCACCAATATCATAGAACTGATACCTGATCCAGGTAATATTCGATACCAGTAACAATATTGGTGCATCCCTACAATTTTTATTAGCTACTCTTAGTCTTCGTGTGCAATTTTGAAGCCGCTGCGCTCCTCGTGTGTGGTGTCAGTGTGACTCTGAGCTGCTCTGTCAGATCGCAACCACCAAACAACAACCAATAAAACAGAGCGTCAGGGGCAGAGGAGTGACGGGCACAGAGGCGCAACATACAAACTCGGGATATAGCAAAAATAATGAGAAGACTTTATTCCTCACCTCTTGTAAAGTGGTAAATTTAAAGTGCAGCATCTCATCCACATTATCCACAGAAATTGTCCTCTGCAAATAATGACATCCAGTCCACAAACGGCGCTATTAATCCAGTTTGAGATGTTCTTTGAAAGTAAAAAGGCGAGAGTAGTTCCTGATGTGTGTCTGTTTACATCCACACAGCGCCCGGATCGAGGTGAAGCTGCAGATTAGTGATAGTGACTCTACTTCTTGTGTTATTTATCACCAATCTTTTATGCTTTAAAAATCATGTATCTGAAACACTGCACCACATTTCACAAATAATAATAACATAGTTTTGACCTAGAAGTGCAGTGCTCTGATCTTGTGAGTGTGAATACGAGTCGTTTTACTGTAGACGGGAAACAGCTGACGAGAAGTGCGCTCACAACTTTGTAGCCGAAGATTTTAAGTCTTTTTAAGTCTCATAAGATTCTCCTTGTGTCTGTGGGATGCACTTTTTGTCACACGTTTAAAAATCCTTTAGTGTGTGATCACTGTTTTAATATAACTATAACAACTGGCTCACAAATTCAACAAGTAAAACATTATTATAAAGAAAGCATAACATCTATAAGAGAATTTGCTTTTGTTTATATGTTATATTCTTTCCATACACACAGTAATGCCCTTGGCCCCTGTCCTGTTATTATCAGTGAGCAGCAGCAGAGCCTTATTAAAATACTGTGGACCACATGATACAAGGAGGTGTCAACAGTGACCAGTGTTTATCTCCTGTGCTTCAAGCTAAAATAAGAACATGGGGGGGAAAAAAAAAAAAAAAAAAAAACACACACCAGATCTTAAACTTGAGTAATGCATTGTGAACTGTGTGAAAGACTTGTGTATACTCAAAACAATTCAAGAAGTTATGATTTTTTGCTGGCATACCTTTTTGGGATTTGGCAAAAAACAATTCTAGTCGCAAGGGATCATTAATAAAATTGATTAGTTATGGTTGAAACTTTAACGTTTGAGAGAAGACTGAAATTTGAAACACTAATGCGACTAGTACAAGACTATAGTTTAGGATAGATTGTAGATGTCTAAACTACAGTGATTTTTGAAAAGTGTGATTTCTACACTATATAACACAATATTTTTGATGGCATTTCTGTTTTCGTAAGGTTCCTTGTTCCCCTGTTTAGTGTTTTTTGCTTTTTTCTTTCTTTCTTTGTTATATACCAAATTTGGAAAGATCACATTTGAACTGGAAATCTATAATGTGTAAACATCTGCTCTTTCCAAATAAAAATAAAATGGGAAAAAGGGTCATTCTACACCAAATCTCCGAATGCCCCTGCCTGACCATCTCAGATTTGCCTGAAAAAATCTAGGAGGTTCACAGTCTTTCCAATAGGAAAAGTCCCAAATTTTATCCCCGAACTTTTTATAGTTTTGTCATTAAAAAATATTTTGTCAACTCTCCCCTGACCTTTCATGAGCAGAGTTTTCCAAGGAGCCACTTTCAGATTGCTGTGTCTAAAAAAAACTCTTTAAGGTCAGTACTTCAAATTTTCAAGGGTTAAAATTTGGCAAATGTACTTGTAGAATCTGGATTTTACACATGTGTTTTTGGTTTATCACAGATTTCTGGGGGCTTGATTTTGCTCAAAAATTTTACTCTTCAAATTTGAGGGCATATTTGAAGGACTGTGGAAAGTTCAATTTCAAAGACAGAGGTTTGAAATTGCTGTGTACTTTGTATGTTTTAAAACTGACCCTCTGTGATGAACGGTCTAGAAGATATTAAGTGTTAAAAATGGAAGAAAATACATTTGGTGCCACCTTTACCATATTATACCAAAAAAATGACAGCACTCACCAACATAAAATAGACTGTTTTAGAAAGATTAGATGTCTGTTTTTAAGATATCATAAATTTGTGATTGTATCTTTCCAAATAAAAATAAAATGGAAATAAAAGTGTGATTTCAAAGTGCACTTTAATATAATAATATATTCTATGCAAGGGCTTGCCTGTTAAGGATAATTTAAGGGTCCTGTTGGTGCATCACTCGTGGTCATACTGGTCTCATATTTACTTTGTTTTATGGTGTTTGTTTATGTGCTGCTTTGTGTTGTGTTGTCCTGTTTTTTGATAAAGCATGTTACCCCCTGTCCCAAGACAAATTTCTCTCATGGGAGACAATAAAGGATTATCTTATCTTATCTTAATATAACAAAATGAATATTTCTTGTATTTTTCAGGATTCTATGGAGGATATTCAGTCCATTGACAGCTGTGAGTTCATTTGGGAGGCAGGAGTTGGCTTTGCACAGTCTCCTCCAATGAACCACATCCACGACCAAAACAGGTTTAAAAGGACTTTATATTGTCGACAAAATAGTTAAAACATATTATAAAATGTGCTGGTATTTATAGTCCCAAGTGATCTTGGGATGATATTGATATTTTCATATCTTCTTTCTTGTTTTCAGGGCGGAGTTGTTGAAGTTGCTGCTGACTTGTTTCTCAGAGACCATGTACGTCTCTGCGTCATCAGAAAAGAAAAGCTCAAATCCATGGGTGAATTTCTTTGTCTCCTCAGAAAACAGGTGACTAGACCGGGACTCAGACCGGGACTCAGACCGGGACTCAGACCGGGACTCAGACCGGGACTCAGACCGGGACTCAGACCGGGACTCAGACCGGGACTCAGACCGGGACTCAGACCGGGACTCAGACCGGGACTCAGACCGGACCTCATACCAAGACTAAACCAGGACTCCAGCCAGGACTCCAGCCAGGACTCCAGCCAGGACTCCAGCCAGGACTCCAGCCAGGACTCCAGCCAGGACTCCAGCCAGGACTCCAGCCAGGACTCCAGCCAGGACTCCAGCCAGGACTCCAGCCAGGACTCGAAACTAAAACATGACCAAACCAGAGCTTAAACCAAGCTCCAGGACTCAAATCAGGACCGAACCAGGAGGACCGAACCAGGAGGACCGAACCAGGAGGACCGAACCAGGAGGACCGAACCAGGAGGACCGAACCAAGGACTAAACCACTAAACCAAGACTAAACCAAGACTAAACCCGGTCTACACTCTGATTACAGACACGCCCTGCCCCTCTTCACCTCCCTGTTGAACGTGGTGTGCGCCTATGACCCTGTGGGGCTGGGGCTGCCCTATAACCACCTGCTGTTTTCTGACCCGAGGGGGGCGCTGGTGGAGCAGGCCATCCAGGTGCTCATGGTGACTCTGGAGCACGACGGACGAACAGCTGCAAGTTCAGCTCTGCAGGCTCTGGACACAACCACAGCCAACGCCACCGAGCAAACAGAGGTACAGAGAAGAGGGATTTGGAGATTTTTAAAGGTGTATTGTGTAACTTTCCCACTGGAAAATCATGTTTAGTATTATATAGTCTTGTTTTTTGTACTCACTTTGTCTTACTTCAGCTTTCAGGACCCGAGAACCTCTTTGTGAACTACCTCTCCAGGATCCACAGAGAAGAGGTACTGTCCTATACTTTTATGAAAGGTCCAATATTCTTTACACTTCAATATTTAACAGTGCATTGCGCAACTGTTCTAGTGCTTGCTCGTCTCCATGGAGGTGTTATAACTGTGTCTGGGATGTTCCATGGTATGACATTAAACACATCTCTCTAGCATTTATTCATTATAGGTGTCTCTTTTGCTCAAGAATACAATAATACTCTCTCTGAATAGGGTTGCCTCTCCACAGATCTGACCTGTAATGTTGCCTATAGTGTAGTTGGTAGGTTTAATCTCTACTGTGGAACATTCTAGACCAGGGGTGTCAAACTCAAATTCACAGAGGGCCAAAATTATAAACTGGGACCAAGTTGTGGGCCAAACTAAATATTTACTGAAAAATTTCAACAACATCTGCATGTTTTCTTTTTTTTGAGGTATGTAATGTTAAACCTTTTCTTATTAAAATAAATTATAAATAATAGTTTTGCTTAAACACTGAATCCAGAACAAGCATAATATAAAACAAAATTTTAGCCTATCTGTAACTCCTTTTAAATGTTTTTTTTTTTTTTTTTTTTCCACAAGTCAACAACCAGTCAAAAATAACCACTTGCTTCAATGAAAATCCAAATCTTTCAACTATGAACTGTCAAAAATCATAAAGAAAACATTCATCCAAGCTCAGTTTGCTAGATTGTGATTTGCTCTGATACACATGGCACACAAAGCAGATACAAATACTTGGCATCTTTTCTTAGATACAAGTTCATCAAAGTAGTAGTATTAGTATTAGTAGTAGTAGTATCGGCGGTACATGAGCCATACTGGCACAGCACTCGGTGGGCCATTATTTTATAATTGCAGGCCAAATTTGGTCCCAGGCCTGAGTCTGAGATGTCAAAGCAATAACATCTCCATGAAGACAAACAGGTGACAGACCCTCCACCAGAAAAGTTGTGAGAGATTTGACAGACACGACCTGATCACTATGACAATTAGTAACAAAACCTTTACTTTTAGCTGTGATAAAATATTGCAATTTAACAATTTAATGGAGTAAAATATTCTTTCATTTCAGGACCTCAGTTTTATCCTTAAAGGCTTGTCCAGTCTCTTGAACAACCCTCTGCTCCAAACTTATCTCCCAAACTCAACCAAAAAGATCGAGTTTCACCAAGAGCTGCTCGTGCTCTTCTGGAAGCTCTGTGACATCAACAGGGTAAAAAAAACGTACAATAAAACTAAATAAAACTGTTAAAAACTAGTTGAATTAAATCAGAGTGGATATTTTTTTTTGTGTTGCAGAAATTCCTGTTTTTTGTTCTTAAAAGCAGCGACGTTTTGGAGATCCTGGTCCCGATACTTTTCTACCTAAACGAATCCAGAACAGATCATTGTGAGAATACCTTAAATATTAATCTTTATATCTGCCAAAACATTACTCTTCTTATTGTTTATCAAAATATTCTAACTTATAACTGTGGCCCTGACTTATATTGTATGTATTTATGTGTTGTTGTTATTGTTGTTTAGCTAAACTGGGTCTGCTCCATATCGGTGTGTTTATTCTGCTGCTGCTCAGTGGAGAGAGAAACTTCGGGGTCCGTCTGAACAAACCATACACCCTCAGAGTCCCCATGGATATTCCCATCTTCACCGGGACACACGCCGACCTGCTCATAGTGGTGAGACAGGACCGGACCAGGACTTAAACTAGGACTAAGCTGTGTGGACCAACTCTATTTTGTCATATTCTGAGCCAGGGCTTAATCAGAGGACTGAGTCAGGACTTAACCAGGACCTAAACAGGATTTAACCAGAATTTAACCAAAAACAGAGACTAAACCAGGACCTAAACCAGTGACAGAAACTCAACTGGTCTGATCTTAACAGGGACTTAACCAGGACTGCACCGGGATTAAGACTAAGAACTAAAACCAGGACTATATCTCGGACTAAGTTGTGTGGACCAACTCTATTTTTTCATATTCTGAGCCAGGACTGAGCCAGGACTTAACCAGGACTTAACCAGAAACAGAGACTAAACCAGGACCTAAACCAGTGACAAAACTTGAACTGGGAATAAACCGGCAAGGCACCAGTATTGAGTTAGGACAGAACCAGGACTTTACCAGGGACAGAAACCGAGACTGAACCAGGAACTAAACCGGAGACAGAGACTGAACCGGGAATGAACTTGGACTGAACCAGAACTGAACTTGGACTGAACCAGAACTGAAACCAGAACTGAACCAGAACATAATAGTTTTCCATTCTTATTCATTGATACATTTGCATTTGATTTTTCTAGTTGTGGCACTTTAAATAAGGACCAGTAGACCTAAATAGGGCCTGAATCTAGAATGGACCCAGGACTGAACCGACCTGAACTAAATATCTCAAAATATTTTCTGAAAACAGAGACTGAACTTGAAATCAAAAACTACTGAACCAAATTTGTAATTGAACCAGGGTAAACCAGCTCCTGATCGGGACTAAACAGGGACTGAACCAGGTCTTTCTTTTTGTTTTCTTAGATCTTCCACAAAATCATGACGTGTGGACACCAGCGCCTGCAGCCACTCTTCGACTGTTTACTCACCATCATTGTCAACAGTGAGTAACAGCCAGTAATATTCTCCTTTCAAATGCAAAATAAACTGCAAATGTTTGATTAATAACAATAAAACATTAATTATAAAGGTGTGCTATGTAACTTTTCTGCTGGAGCGTCACCTGCTTGTCTCCATGGAGATCTTATTGTTTTGCCTGGAGTCAGATCTGTGTAGAGGTGACCCAGCTCACAGTAATGACATTTTTTGCAAGATATTTTTTAGCAATACATGGAAGTGAATAAATGTAATATTTAGGTTAATTTAATGCCATACTGTGGAACATTACAGGCAAAGCAATAGAATTTTCATGAAGTCAGAAGAATCTGAAAAATTACCATTCAATTTAAGTAATGTATTAGTGTTGTAGTTATCAGTAGACTATTTCATGATGACATTATATTGACACCATGCAAATGCTGTACAGTGCAGTGTCGCCCTCTAGTGGCTGAGTCCATGTGTGTCTCCCTCAGTCTCTCCATATCTGAAGAGCCTGTCCATGGTGGCTGCATCCAAACTTCTGCACCTGCTGGAGGCCTTCTCCACGCCCTGGTTCCTCTTCTCGTCACCACAAAACAACAACCTGGTGTTCTTCCTCCTGGAGATCTGCAACAACATCATACAATACCAGTTTGATGGTACGGCCAGTTTATACCTATTTACATTTTAATATGAATCTTTGTATGTATGGTTCTTCACATATGCATGATTTTGATGGTTAATTTTGCAAAAAAAAATTATGAAAATTGGTCTGGCCTCTAGGTCAAACATGTCAGACTCAGGCTCGGGGGCCAAATTTGGCCCATGATATAATTATATTTGACCCAGGAGCTAATGCGCCTTTTTGAAGATGTGCCCACATTTGAGGTTGTGGTTGTTTTAAAAGTTTCATGAATGAAAAAGTGGCAGAATTAGATGTGTATATAGGATTACATTATGCCATTTGTCATATGATTAATCCGAGATGGCAAACTTCCAGTTTGGGAGGGGGCGGGGTCACAATATACTTTTTTGTTCCTATTCCCATGCATCTGTGTACCAAATTTGCACTTCATGCCCGATGTCAAGTGCGTACCAGTCGATGACATGAGTTCCACTGTGCTTAGAAAGGGGAGAGCGCTTTGTGCTCTGTTTGCGTGCGCTGCACACACACAGCGCAGCAGTGCGAAGCGAACAATCACAATAGGCCCGGGAAGAAGAAGAAGAAGAAGAGTTTCTGAATCAGTGTATCATTTGTTCATTAGTTTTTCAAAATAAATCCAAAAATAAGAAAACGAAAAAACAACTATTTTCTTCATTATTTGTCTCCAAAGCCAAAATGAAAAACTGGATAACCATTAGTTTTTTCAGTTTTTGATTTTGTGTTTAAATGAATAACCGCTTCCCGTTTCCGTGACTTAAACTGCGACACCAGATTTTTCCGCTGTGCACGCACTAAACCAGGACTGGTCCCAGGACTGGTCCCAGGACTGGTCCCAGGACTGGTCCCAGGACTGGTCCCAGGACTGGTCCCAGGACTAAATCTTGTAAGCTCATTGTCTTTTCAAGGGTGTGTCTGCCCCCCTGGTCTCCTTACATGCACGGATAATCTGCTCGCTCGCAGTTAATATCTACGTGTGAAATAATACAATAGACCTGAATGTATGTTTTATCGAGTGTGTGTATTATTTAATAATTTTGACACCATACTCCAGTCTCTGAGTGGCAGCTCTTTAGTTCAATGTGATCCTTAAAACGGCTCACAGTTTATCGGGTGAACATTCAATGTATAAATAGGTGCTGTGACCTTTCAACTCTGTGAAACTGCTAACGGAGCTGAGAGAAGTTCTAAAGTTTGTTCTGTGTGAGGGATATTTAAGACGACATTTGTACAAAAACTGGTATAAATAAATATTTTTGTTTCATTCTCTTTAGGCAATAGTAAACTCGTCTACTCCATCATTCGTAAGAGAAATGTTTTTCACCAACTGGCCAACCTCCCGTGTGACGCTGTGTCGATCCAAAACGCTCTACAGAAGAGGAAGAAGAAGGAGCGCCCAGGACTCAGCCGGACCGTCTCCATGGAAACACAGAGTTCAGAGGTCAACAAACAGGAAGTCCCACCTGAGCAGGGTGGTGCGTACAAGGCCAGTCTGGAGGCCATGCCAGGTAAATGCTCGTTTATAATGTTGTTGTCCTGACCCTGACTTGAACCAATAATTTTTTTATACAATTTGTAGACTTAGAGCAGATATGAACACCTTTATGAATATTTTGACAAGATTGGATTTGAGTGATGACTTATGTTTTTGTGTGGTGTGGAGAGAGGGGTGGGATGTGGGAGGGATTTGTTTTGTTGTTTGGTTTTTTTTGTTATGTACATTTGAAAATTGGGCAAAAATATAACTTTGTAAAATTATACAACTTACAAACATGCAGGAATTTGAATTTTTGATTGTATTATAATAATAATAATATTCTAAGACTGTGGATTTGTGCGTAAATGGTACGGATTTGTTCTCCCAGAAGAATATTTTGAAGGTTTGAAGATAAAAAGGTTTAATGCCACACTGTGAAACATTCCATACAAAGCAATAACATCACCATGGAGACAAGCATTTGACAGATCCTTCACCAGGAAAAGTGACACAATGCACCTTTAACTACTCATTTAAATTTTCACAAGAATAATTCATATATGAGGCTCATTGTGTTTTGGACAAAAGTAGCTATTGAAAGTACAGTGGTCCCTCGTTTATCGTGGGGGTTACGTTCTAAAAAGTAACCCGCAATAGACGAAATCAGCTTAGTAGTCAGCTTTATTTTTACAATTATTAAATATGTTTTAAGTCTGTAAAACCTCTCACCACAAACTTTATACACTTTTCTTTTATACACTTTTTGTATCCTTCTTAAAACTTATTGCTGCTGTCGTCCTTATGTTATTTTCCTCCTTCTTTGTGTAACGAAACAAAGATTAATTTATTCCGTATTGGCGCCCTACAGCCTTGTAACTTCTCCCTTCCTTCAGCGTTTTTAGAAGTCCAACTTTTTGTGCGATGGTTAGCCTCTTACTCGGGCTTTTGGATGTGACCGCAGGAGCCTTTGTTAATGTTTCATCGACATTGTGGGTTTTTTCGGGGAGAAAACTTGTAAACATACAGAATTTCAGAATCACACTGCTAGAGATCAAACATTTATGTAAATTTGGCAAACTGAACACATTCTGTACTGTACAGGAGACATGCCACGGAGGAGACTGTTTGACAATGGTCTACAGTCCCTTAGCCAATCAGGACGCAGGGGAGGAACACAATGTGCCTTCATATCCTGAAAAAAAAAAATTATAAAAAGCATGTAAAAGTGCACTAAAAATATCTGCGAAACAGTGAACCATGTTGTAGTAAGGGACGACAGTAATATATTTTTCAGCAGCAAAATAAGCAGCAGTGTTTGTGGAAAACTTGTGGCTCTGAAATGTAGTCAGTGCAAAAAGCTTCTAATGGTTTAAAACTTCATCTGAGCAAAACTATTTGTTTGTCAGGTTACATGTATAATAACAAATGATTTTCCCTTGACACAGGTATAGATAAGATAACAGAGAAGTCTCTGGTGGGCGCAGATGGGACCCTGGTCTCCGTCCCACAGACGAGAGCCCAAGGAGGAAGTGCAGCCAGCGACACAGAGTCCAACTCCGAGAGAGACACAGAGGTGAGGACTCTATACTTTACCTTTATTTAACCAGGAAAGTTTTAAATTATCTGTTGAATTTTATAGATTTTTATTTGTATTTGGTAAATGTATTGTTAATAAGTAAGACATGTCAGAATAAATTAAATTTTATTTTTGAAGGAGCTAAAAAGATGCATGTGAGAATAAAAATTGCACAGATGCTCTGTACACACATTACAAAAGTGGGATGGCAACGTTCATGAATGTTGTAGATTAATATTATGTTCTGTGCATTACTTTAATTAAATCTCTAATTCTGGGTCAATAATCATTCATTATAAAGTCACTGCCTTGTAACATTGCGTTCATTCAAACAGGTGGTATCAGAGGCTTCACGGAGTCGTCTCTCAAGTGTCTCTTCATCTGTCGCCTGGACCCCCACATCAGAGTGGGTCAGTTACATCTACATTCAGTAATACTGTGTGGTTAATATGTGTTTATTTATTATTTTGTTATATTTTGATTGTATTTTTTAGGCTTTGTCATGGAAGTCCAAGCTCCCTCTGCAGACCATTATGAGACTACTTCAAGTCCTGGTCCCTCAGGTTGAAAAAATCTGTATTGACAAGTAAGTTAATTTATCAGTCTTTTTCAAATGTGCACTTTGTAACTTTTGTGATACCAGGTCCATGTCTCTATGGAGAGATTGTTTTGCCCACAATGTTCCACAGTATGACTTTGAACTGATCTATCTTTATAGAGGCAAGTTAGTTAGTTTATTTTATTTCGCTGTATTATGCAATATTGTAGCCTGATTCATCAGCCGGTTTCACTTCATGGAAACTGTCTGACCTCGCAGCATTAGGATTCGTTCGCTTGACAGTAGGCGGGTACTTTTTTAATTTAACCAATCGCTGCTATTTGGTCGTGACGTATGTAATGTGCCAAATCCCATAGGACGAAAGACAATAACATCTTTCCCCTTGATAAAATTCACCAAACATTCTCTTTGTTCTGGCTTTAAATCCTCGATTTCGGGAATTGTTGCCAACACAGAATGTATGGCTTCATCTACATCCATCTCAACCGCTTTGTTTACTGTTGTGTTGTTCCACAAAAGGGACCCAGACAGATGCTTGAGTTTGACGTCATGGCTTCACAGCTCTTCGCTGATTGGCCGGAGTGCGCTCTACAACTTCCGGGCTTTTGCAAACTGTCTAGTGTATTCTGATTCCTGACCTAGTCGCTGGAGAGAAATGAAACTGAGCGGAGGCACTAGATGGCACCAGACTGACTTGCTATATTGTTCTGAAATAGAGAAAATGCAAGATGGATAAGTTTAAAGCCATACAGTGGAATATTCCAGGAAAGCAATGACATCTCCAGACAAGGAAGTGGCTTACCCTCCACCAGAAAAGTTTCATAACATTTTGTTGTTCAGGGGTCTGACAGATGAGACGGAGATCCTTCAGTTCCTGCAGCACGGGACTCTGGTGGGTCTGCTCCCGGTGCCTCATCCCATTCTGATCCGGAAGTACCAGGCCAACGCCGGGACCACCACCTGGTTCCACACGTACATGTGGGGAGTCGTGTATCTACGGTAAAATACTCTCAAGCTTATACAATAAAAATATGTGTCTTTTTGTCAATGAATAAGTGATTTAAGGAGGATTTAAGGTTTTAATAATTTAAAAAAATCATTTTTATCACTTTTATGTTGTTAATATTACATGGAAGTTCTTTGTTAATTTATTATTTATCTTCAAATCACTGAATGCTTAAAAATGTTTTATTTCCATTTACAATTTCAGACTGGTATTTTTACACATTTAATGTAGGCTGCAAACCAAGTTACTGCAATAGAGTGACTGACAGTTGATTTCTTGTTGCCATAGAAACATGGACCCTCCCATTTGGTACGACACGGACATCCGACTGTTTGAAATTCAACGGATCTGAAAACCACCGACAAAAACATCACCCACTGCTTTGCCTTTTCTTTATGAGACCAAAGACTCATGTTTAACCCCAACACAACTTGACCTACATTATATAAGTGTTTCTATAGCAACTAAAGTCAAAACATGTCCTGCTTATCTGTTACTGTTATAGGTGTGTTTTAATTTTATTTATTACGTTATTATTTATTTAAATGGGACACACGTTGGGAGCTAAACTCAGAATGTGCAACTTTCGGTAACAATAGTTTGAGATGCTGCTGTTAAGAAAATATACAGTTTATTTGGGCTGAACGATTCAGGACAAATGTCTAATTGTAATAGATTTAAGATTTATGTTTTAATAATAGGATTCAGGTCAAAGTTCACACAACAAACATGTCCAAAAATACAGAATTTTACTGACAAACGAACACAAGAATCACAATTTAAAACATGTTTGTACACATTTACACTACAAGGTTCGCAGTTTTTATGCAGAATGAGGCAGATATTTACTTAAAGAATTACAGTGATTTTCTAATTGCGTCCATTCAAACTGCAATCTCTATTTGACCACAGCCCTCGAATATATGATGTAAAACTTTCTTTATATAGATTCACACTTCTTGTAAATACGTAGAATAAGAAAACATGTTTACAAAAGTGCCTGGATATCAGTTTTTGATTTTTGTAATTTTGAATCTGTAAATGATCTTTTCCACCAAAGATACTTGTACAAGAAAACATTTATTGATGTATAGAAAACATTTTGGTCACAACACCTTTAAATAAACAAAAATGTATGAAATTTACATCATTTTCAAACTGTCACTTGACCAATCCAAAACCTATACTGTACATTTATTGTATTATGTGCCAAACCATTATAGTTCAATATACTTTTACAATATAATTTGGTTTACATTCAAAATCTTTGGTGAGATTTCTTAAGTTACAAGGGGTGTATTATAAAATGTGCTATAGGTTGACCAAACATTGGGTCATGTTTTGCTTTTTTTAATGGCATCTACTATTTAGGGCTGTATTTGACTAAAGAAATTCTTGGTTGACTAAAAACTTGAAAAGGGGGGGTAAATTATTATTATATTATTATTATATCTCTATAATCTGAGCATGTATCTGATCCAAACTGCACTCACAAGACTTCAGCTGCACAGGAGTTCATGCAAAAACAACTATTTAAACAGAAACGTACTACAAAACTGTATTTATATGAAAAAATGCAGATTAAACTCATGATATACTTAATAAAAAGGTTGGTCAACTAAGACACTAAACTCAAAAAGTACCCTCTAGATAAGTTAAATTACTTAAGGAAAAAATCTTGGTTAATTTAATTCAAGTAACATCATATTTTGTTTATTATTTTAAGTTCAAATAGTTGTTCTGTCTTAAATGTGTCAAGATGTCGTATAAAAAACTTGTTCCATTGGTAGATAACTTTATTTGGCAAGTGGAATTTACTCAACTCACGATGACGTGTTCTTGCACTGCGCAACTTTTCTGGTGAAGTGTCCGCTATCTACTTGTCTCCATGGAGATGTCATTGCTTTGCCAGGAAAGTTCCATGATATGACTTTGAACATTTACATCGAGCGTTTATTCATTATGGGTGTTTCTGTTACTCAAAAATACAATAATTCCTTCTGTGAATAAGGACGACGCTCCACAGATCTGTACTGTAATGTAGCGTAGTGCTGTAACCTGCTTGTTTCCCTTGTGATAGATAGGTTTAATCTGTACTGTGGAACATTCTAGACAAAGCAATAACATGTCCATGGAGACATCAGGTGTAGTAAATTTATCTGCCACTGGAATATGATTTTTTTTCCTTAATTTAAACAACATTTTACTCAAATCAAGAGTTTTAACTTTTTAAGATTTAAATTTTTCACAGTGTATCAACCATAAACTGTATAAAGAAGTGGACTAAGGCAGTGTGATGTTCGGCTCCAGTCAAATGAAGCTCACTGAATCTTGCAGTTGTGGGAGCAAATTTGGAGCCAGGTCTGTATTAGGATTAGGAAGTTATTAACGGAATAAAAACACCAAGATCACATAGAGCGGGTTAATATGAACATTTTAAGACCAGAATGACGAGGCTCATGGCAGCAGTTGCAAAGAGAGTGGTGACATTTTTTTCAATGTAAAGCCAATGGGAACAGAGTTGATGGAGACTGAAGCGCACCCATGCTCACTTCCAGTTCGCTATGCCCATATATTTACAGTCTACTAGTATGGTATCAACCGATTAAACCACTAAACCACTAAAGGACCACACATCAAATGCTATTGTAAATATTTGGGGGAGTCCAGTTCCTGTTTTTGTTTACTTTGCGGTGATGAGCAGCTCCATCAGCGCAGAGACTGAGTGCATCCTGTAGAAGACTGAGAGCGGCTGGCCCACATTCACCAGAACAAACCAACTACTGAACCCGAAAAACTGCTTCCCCAAACCATTCTCAAACTGAGGGTGGACTCCAAACGCAGGGATAATCCACAACTGAAACACAAAAAGGCAACTATATTTACAACCATTACACAATAACCTTATTTTAAAGGTCTTATATCCTCCTGAGACACGGCCCCATTCATTTGTGTCCTTTATAGTGGACATTGAGTAAACCAGCTGATCTTTTAGGTGTTTTGAGATAGACTGTGTGTAATGCTTAAATAGGGCTGGGGTATTATAGAGTACTATCATGTCCAGGATAAAAAAAAAAATCTATAGGAGATAGTTTGTGGCTGCACTATGATTAAAAAATAAATAAGAAAAAACTTTTGCTTATCAGAGATGTGGTCATCCAATAAGTTGTTTTTGTGAGGTTGTTAACTTCATATGAATGTAACACCAAAATGCCCGGTGTCCATCACAGAGGACATGTTATAAAATTATACATAAAATAAAATTAACAAAATCTAAATGCTAAGGTGTTCATTTACATCCAAATAGACAGAAAATCACACAAAAAATATATTGCAATACACTTTTTTTCTTTGGGTCCCAGGAGGATATTACGCAAAACTGACTCTTGTGAACTTTTAAGCCATGTTATAATGTTGTTACTTCCTCAAAAACAGACCCGGAGTTGTGTTTTGGTTCATTCACACAAGTTTGAGTCATCCTTTATTATTAGTCTGTCTACATCTCCAAAGCTCAAAATGCTCAGTTCCACCTTGTGATGTTATGTAGTGATACTTTTCAAATCAACAGCCACATTTTTAGAAGAGAATTCCAGGGCTGAAACTATCCAAATGATTCTAGTGAAGGTGTGTGGGGACTAAAAATACAGTAGAGCACTTCCTGTATTACATGACATCACAAGGTGAACAGAGTGTTTTCTGTTTGAGAGAAGAACTTGTGTGTTATGTGTGAGTTTAAACTGGTCAAAAATATCTCCAAAAACCTCAAATCTTACTGAGGGGGGTTCAGTTTTCTATAGATCAGACTTGTAATGTGGTCTAGTAGTATCACCATGGAAACACATACCAGAAAGACTACAAAATACACCTTTAAAAAAAAAACTGAGTAGATATTTTTGCCCCTATACTGCTGAAGGGAAGTGCTTATTTATCAGAATTGTTATAAATACGAATTACTAAACTTTACTTTTCTGTATGACTCACCATGATGTTGGAGAGAACGAGGAAGGCACAGATTTCTTGTATTATTGTTTTGGACCAAGTCTTTTTGCTTTCTTCCTCAGGGTCAGCAGGTGGCGCTGTTGTGTTTTGATCCAACAGTGTGAGGCCTGCTTTTCTCTCCTCTGATTCACTGGATTTCTTCTTTAGCTGAAAAACATATAAAGTAATAAAAACACTGTCCAAAAAGCAAAATATAAAAAGTATAAAATGGAATTATCAATGTAAAAGACGTAGAAAAACAGCAGTATTATTTCATTTGGTATGGAGTTTAGATTCACATAAAAAGTTAGTCGTTAATCTGGAAAAAATATATATTTCTACTTCTGATTATCACCATTTTAAGACATTTTCATGAAATATTAAAGGTACACTGCGTAACTTTCATGGTAGAGAGCCTGTTATGTGCTTGTGTTCAGGGAGATGTTATTGCTTTGCCTAAAATGTTCCAAAGTATGGCATTAAACCTATCCATCTCCACAGAGACAAGCAGACCAATTTACAGGTGAGATCTGTGAAGCGGTGACCCCACTCACAGTCTGAATGTAAGTTTTTAAAGTTATTTTTGAGCAATAAAAACACCCATAATTTAATAAATAATAAATTCTGAAAAGTTACACGGTGCACCTTTAAAACTTGCCAAAACTTCTCATGAAAAATAATCAAATAAAAGTAGCTATATTTAGAAGAGGCAAAATAAAGATGGACAAATTATACAAGTAATTTGCATAGGCCCATAACATCTGCAACAGTGTTTTAAATGAGGTTTAATTCAAATATTGCGTGAAATGATTTATAGACTTTTGTGTATGGCATACCTTTTTCATTGGAAGACCACAACCATAAACAAATGATCTAAAAAGGCTTTGTAGTCTTTTTCTAGATGTTATGCAAAATGACATTATATTTGCAAAGGAAAACTCAGTAGATGCATCATCCTGGTTAGAGGACCTATAATTCTTCCAAAAAAATCATCAAAACTAATACTATGTTAGAATATGGTACTTAATTTTGTACCAGTAACTATCATTATGTCATCACTACGTCAATACTTAGGCAAGACATAAAGCTGTCAGCAGCAAAATGCAGATAATAGAGGTCAATGCCCTATCAGTAAAAGTGTGTTTTAAAATCATGAGTTAAAGTGCCCTTTACAACTTTGATTAGCCAACACGTTTTACTAAAAAGCAGTTAAAATCATTATATTTAAAGGGCTCAAATTACATTATTTTCTGATCTGTTGTTTCCTCATCAAAAACAGACCTGGAGTTGTGTTTTTTTTGTTTTTTTTTTTCATTCATTTCTTCTTCTTGAATAGAAAACACTCATTCAGAACATTTAAACTCCATACACCAGAATATTTCAGATGATTTCCACCCTCAAATTGCCTCTACTGACTCTGTCTTTACTGAACTAAAGGTAAAAGGAGTTGTTAAAGGGACAGTCTGGAATTTTGGACATAGGACCTCATTTCCTAGTTAGCCAGAGAGTTGGAGACGTGTGGAGACACTTTTTTAAATATTCCATCCAGTCCTTGTATTTGCAGAGGTCACTGGTGCTAGACTAGTGCATGTCAATGGCCATCGTTATCTTGCCACTAAAAACAGTCTTACCCACTCCACAAAACACCCAAAACAAATCTATTATTACGCCAGACTGTCCATGTAAATGTCTGTGTCGACAAAATAATGTTTAAAATAAAACTAACCTTGCATCACATGAATTGTCGCATGTTGAGGGACTATTTTCTCATATATCAGTCCGCCGCTGCCAAGCTTTCAATCAGAAGTACAACTCACTGCTGCTGCTCAGACATAAATCCTTCAAATGCAAGGTTGGTTTTACTTCTAAAATTATTCTATCAAAACAGACATTCACATCGACAGTCTGGCATAATAATAGTTTTATTTTGGGTGTTTTGTGGAGTGGGTAAGACTGTCTTTAGTGGCAGGCTAACTATGGCCATTGATATGCACTAGCCTAGCACCAGGGACCTCTGCAAATACAAGGACTGGATGGAATATTTAAAAAAGTGTCTCCACACGTCTCCAACACGCTGGCTCACTAGGAAATGAGGCCCTATGTCCAAAATTCCCAACTTAACTTAAAAACTTTGAACACTACATGAGAGATTTAGACGGACTAATAATAACGTAATACTAAAACGAATCATAATAAAACAAAACACAACTCCAGGTATGTTTTTGAGGAGGTAACACCATTATAACATGGTTTAAAGATCACAAGACTCAATACTGTGTAATATAGGACCTATTAAATTCCCACCTTAATTCTTACCTTAAACATCGTACTCCTCGGCTTCTTCTTGGCCTTGATACTCGGGTGTCTGTGGAGCCCCTCGATAATAAATGTATTCTGCATCACCAGCTCCAGCAGACTCAACACCGAGTAGGACAGGTCCAGATCTCCCAGAATTCCCTGCGTTCCGATTGCGATTGCAGCCACCAAAGAAAAATAGGACAGAGCGAGTTGTCCCAAAGCAGTAATAATGAGCAGCAAAACATCCAAACTCCGAGTTGGGTTGTGTCCTCCGTCATGGATCCTTTTCTCAAAACGATGGACTAACAAACCCAGCAATGAGCAAAAAGACATGACCGGCATAACTGTTAAATGATAACTGTAGAATAACAAAAATGCTGTAAGCTTATGTGCTGATTGTCCCACCCAAACTTGGTACAAAATGAAAACCAATATTCCAGCAATCAGGACTAAACCTCCAAATATGAGTCCGTAAATGATCCCTCCGCTGTATACGATTTTGACGGTGAGTTTGTTGTCGGCATGGTGATGCGTGGGTCAAAGTTCGTGCAACGTTTTTCCACATAACGTAAATCATGCACCCGGACATGAGGTAGTATTCCATGGAGAAAGGGTACAAGACCTCAAAGCCCTTCTGGAAAATGAGACAGGCTGGGGTCGAGCTGCACAGGCAAGCAGAGGAGTTCGACGAATCTGGAAATGGGACAGAAAATATCCATTTGAAATCAAAAACGACAAAGAATCTGTCAAAGTTGCAATGCAGTATTTGGCTTAGGAGCATTTTTACTTCTTATACCCTGTGTTTAAAGTGAGGATACTGTTTTATAAAAGACTCCTAACATGTCCTACACTGCAAATTTCTCTGATCTGGCCAAGATTTTAAAACTTATATTAGGTTATTCATCTTGTTTTCAGATTTATTATCTACTTACTAATTCTGAGACTGCTTAATTCTAGTCTAGAGGGCATTTATTTTAAGATAACTTGCCAAGTTATGTCAAATTATCTTGCTGCGTGGACAGAGAATTTCACAATTTTTAAGTAATTTTCTAATAGATTTAAGTAGGGATGTAACGATATCAAATCTCTTGGTACAATATTATCACGAGTTACGTCTCACGGTATGATATTTATTGTGATATTTGGGAGAGGCTGATATAATTGTAGATAGGACCCTTTTTTGCTTTGAAAACCCCTTGACAAGATTTTGGTGCGAATTATTTCTGTCATAATCCCAAGAATTCAAGTCAAAAACATGTTTTTCATGTTGTCTGCACTGAAATGAATCATGGAATATGTAGTAAAACCGAGCATTTAAGCAAAGGAACTTGTGATTCGATATATTTTGACAGTCCATGATATTATTGTACTTTTGACAATATGATATCACAATATCACTTAATGTTATTAAGTCTCACAATAATATCGTGGACCATCACAATATATTGAATCACAAGTTTATTTGCTTAAATTCATTGTTAATTGTGCAGCAATAGCTAAAAAACTGAGGGAACTACATTGACCATGATCCTTTGTTCTGTTTTAGTCCAATCTAAATGCTGAAATAGCAGTTATTAAGAGCTTTTAAATCTTAATTGTTTGGATTATGACAAGTGAATAGTAGCATATTCATAAGTTTAGTTAGCCTACATAAAATATCGCAATAAATATTGTACAGTGAGATGTATATCGTGAAAATATCGTATTGAGAGAATCCCTTCTAGGGGTGTAATGATATTCAAGTCTCACGATAAGATATCGTCATGGTATGAGCCTCACGGTACGATATTTATCGCAATATCGTGGGAAAGCTCACGATATGGTGGGGAGGCTCACGATTACGGATGTAACAATATCCCAATCTCTCAGTACAATATTTTCACGATATACATCTCACAGTAAGATATTTATTGTGATATTTTGTGGAGGCTAAACAGCTAAAACTATTAATATGCAACTTTTTTCTCTTAAAATGCCTTGACAAGACTTAATCCAAAAAACTAAGACTTAAAAGTGCTTAGAACTGTTATTTCTTCATGTAATCTGCACTGAAGTGGAGCAAAGGATCATGGTCCATGTAGTTCCCTCTGTCTTTTTTTTAGCTATTTCTGCACCATAACTCTTAATTTAAGCAAAGAGACTCGTATTTCGATATATTTGGATGATCCACGATATTATTGTGTGAACTTTGACGATATCACGATATTTCAGTTATTGTTCCATCCCTAATCCCTAGTAATAATTAATACAAAAGCAGCTGACAGGGTTACCTTTCCCTTAATGAGACACATTATTACTATGAATCATGGGAAATCACCTGCATGACCCGATCACTGACATTTGTTTCTGTGTCATGGTGTAATATCAGAATGAAGTAAGTGAGCGGAGATAAAAGTTCAAATGTTCGATGTGGCTGACCTTAAGCAAATCATTTTATTTTACATTACAATCAATCTTATTATTCTTTATGGGTAATTAAAGTTTACCAATACATCTTTCAGTGGTGATGCCAGCCGGATGCCATGTTACAGATTTAGAAATATATATACGCAAATATTTTTTCCACAAATTGTTTTAAGGCAAATGTAGGAGTAAAGCTGGCTATCCTTTTAATCTACACCTGCTTGAACTTCATACTCTCTTTCACTACATCCATAAAGCTTGTTCACTTTTGTCATCTACACCCTTTCTAAATTCAAAACAGTCTTTAGAAAAATAAAAAGTTAACACAAATACAATTACCAATGCCAAAAATATCCAAACGGAGAGTGTAGTTGTCTGGGGTGAGTCCGTCCTCTTTCTGCAGCTCAATCTCCTGGTGAATCGTGTCGTCAGTTACAGCATTGAGCCACAGCAACAGGTCCGTGCACAGGATCACCATCAGACCTGCTCTACAGATACAAACCACAGAGAAAAACCTTTAAATGTGATAAAATGGATGTCAATTCTCAAACTTAAAGGTCTTATATTACGCAAAATTGACTCTGTTGTCACCTCTTTAGTCACAGTCATACCTGAAGTTGTGTTTTGTTTCATTTAATCCTTTATAATTAGTTTGTCTACATCTCCAAAGCTCAAAATTTTCTGTTCTACCTAGTGATGTTGTGAAGTTGTAGTTTTCAAGTTAACAGCTGCCTGTATTACCACATGACATCACAAGGTAGAATAAAGTGTTTTCTGTTTCAGAGAAGTCAGCATTATAAAATAGCGTAATACTGGCTCTTTAAGACATCAAGTATACAAAATATCAGATATATAGACTCTAGGAATGTAACAATAACAGAAATATTGTGTGATATCGTATTGTCAAAAGTTTCACAAGAATATTGTGGGCTGTCACAAGATATCGAATTACAAGTTACTTTGCTTAAATGCATGGTTTTATCGTAGCATCAGCTTATGACCATTGGAAACTACATTTCCCACGATTCATTTCAGTGCAGACAACATGAAGAAATATGTTTTTTACTTGAATTCTTGGGATTATGATGGAAATAATTCACACCAAAATCTTGTCAAGGTATTTTAAAAGCAAAAAAGTGTCCTATCTACAGTTATATCAGCCTCTTCAAAATTTTGCAATAAATATCGTACCAAGTGATGCATATCGTGATAATATCGTACCGAGAGATTTGGATATTGTTACAGACTCCAAAAGTTACATTGGATTTAAGTGATAAATTATAGAATATGTGCATGGATAAAAAGAAGTGAACTGGACCAGGACAACAAGAACTAAACCAAATATATAGGAGTAAAACATTATAGAAAGATATTCATTGTCAATACGATTCTTCAGCTCTCAAAACAAGCCAGGACTAATTAATTCTTCTGAAGCATACTTGTTCTGTTATTGTCACCGTTGTCAGTGTAAAGCACAATCAAAAATCCTGAAACTAAAGAAAAGTGGAGCACCTTGTAATCACTTTGCGGATGTGAATGCAGTCCTTCGAATGGGCCCACAGTAAATATGTCTGCAAGAAGAACATTAAAGAACAGAAAATTACATATCAGGACAAAATAGTAATTTTACTCAGTTTCACTTTATGTATTTGTCATAAAATCTGATTATGATTTTTATTTGAGCATGACCTGCCTATCTCTGCCGGTGACTCACCATTTTTGGAAACAAAGATAACCCAGAGATGCATTATTTAGAGATACTGACCGTAAATCAGGTCAAAGCTTTTGAAATGTCATTATTTAAAAGCTAATTCTACCATTTCACTTGCCTTCCTTCTCAATGGATGGTTGCCATAAGTTAACAATATAGATAAAATAGCCTATATATTTTACATGATCAAAAGTCCTCAAAATAGTGACCATAACAAGAGAAATCATACAGAGGAAACCCATGAATATGCCACTGTACTATGTAGCCTATAATAATAATAATAATACTATAATAATAATAATAATAATAATAATAATAATAATAATAATAATAATAATAAGACATCAAACTTATATAGCGCTTTTTTGGACAATCAAAGATGCTTTACAAACAAAAATAAGAAGTAACACTGTAGAAAACCGGGGGAATCATGTAGGGAATGCCAGTTTGAACAGGTGAGTTTTTAGAAGTGATTTGAAGTGCTGCAGTGAGTCCGAGTTCCTGATGGATTGTGGGAGTGAGTTCCAGAGGGACGGGGCGGCAGTGGCGAAGGGTCAGTCCCCCAAGGTCCGGTACTTTGTCCTGATGAGGGGAGTGAGGCGGTTGTATTTGGGGGGGGGGGTGCTCTGAGACCTGAAAACACTGATGACATTTCCCCCTCTTTTAAAGTCCAGTACCTGCAGACAGAGGAAGATGATTTCCAGCAGAGGAGAGGCCACCTGGCTCAGGGATTTACAGGGTCTCAAGGAGATGATGAGGCCCACTCTGAACACACACAGGAGCACGGTGAACCCCGCGAACAGCAGGAGCACCACTGACAGAAAAACATATGTACAAAATAAACAATTATTAACAGACTTCTCACTACAGACACAATCTGTAAACGTCTTACACTGTGCATTATTTTCTCTTTTTGAACGATACTGGACACTCATCTTGTGAGTAAATGTAAATGCGGATAAAATATGTATGAGAGAACTATGAATATCTCCAAATTCGTGCAAGACTTTGAGAGTTTGAGGGCTGCAGTTATCAAATCAAGTTTGGCAAAATGTGTGGAACAGAGTTTTGAGCTCTGTAATGAAACAAAATGTAGGAAAACTCAAATATGCAAGACAAATACCCCTGTCTGTCCACTGTCAGTACACACAGTATTGTGTTTGAGTACACAGAGACAGGTGCTGTCAGACCTCAACTTTAATTAGTCTCTTCAAGGTCAATAGAGCGTGTTTATTAGATGTATTATCAGGACACGTCTATTGTTCAACCCACTTTTCACTTTCTGAGGGGTTTATTACAGGCATGCCATAAAAATGACAAATGGAGGGTGTGTTTTGAGCCATTTATTTCAAAACACAATTTGAAAAACATGTAATGTGACTCTAGTATTTATTGACAAAATAGACAAAAGAAATTAGTGATTATTATTAAACAAAGCAAGAGAATTGTCAATGGAAATTATTAAACATATTACGTAGGGAGACTTTATTCAATCAATTAACTGGCCTCATCCAGTATGAATGTGGAGTATTTATAATATAATATGTAATAACAATAATGCATCTTATAATACTAGTGTACCCAAACACTGATATTCAATGCTATTTTTGGGTTGCAACTTAAAGATGCACTATGTAACTTTTCTCCAACACCTTCTTGTCCCCATTGTTACTGTTTGCTATTGCTTGACCTGAATAATCCTTGTGTCATTCGTTCATTTCCTTTTCACAATAAAACCGAAAATATGAAAACGAAAAAACAACTATTTTCTTCATTATTTGTCTCCAAAACTAAAATAAGTAAACAGATAACGATCATTTTTTCAGTTTTCGATAATGGAAAAAAATGAATAACGGCCATTTCCCCTTTCTGAAACTTAAACTGTGATGCCGGATTTTTGCACCGCATACGGACTGAACCAGGACTAAAACAGGACTAAACCAGGTCTAAACCAGAACTAAATCAGGACTAAACCAGTACTTAGTGTCGGGACGGGCCCGGAGGTGCCCCCGCATAGACTGTCGGGTGATCAGGACTGAGACCAGGACCGAACCAGGACCAGACTAGGACTGAGACCGGTTTAGTCCTGGTTTAGTCCTGTTTGAGTCCTGTTTGAGTCCTGGTTTATTCCGTATGCGGCGCTAAAGTCGGGCATCACAGTTTAAGTCACGTAAACGGGAAACGGTCTGTTTTTTCCATTATTCATTTAAACACAGAATTGAAAACTGAAAAAAACTAATTGTTATCCATTTTTTCATTTTGGTTTTCGAAACAAATAATGAAGAAAATGTTTTTTGGTTTTATATTGAAAAACGAATGAACGAATAATTCACAGATTCTGAATGTTTCACAGTATGTCACCTGCTTGTCTCTATGGAGGTAAATGGGTTTAATGCTGTTTTGTGGAACATTTGGAGACTAGAAGGTTTCAGACCCTCAAACTGAAAGTTACAAATACAATATGTCACTTTTCTGGTTTCCAAGGAGATGCTATTGTTTTGAATGAAGGTTAAGAAGTGTAGTGTAGCAGTTATAACACTACACCCCTGTATACTCACACAAAACAGTGATTCCTCCGGCGTGGTGGTCCTGATGAGGTCTGGACCCTGGCCTTTTGGATTCCCACAGAATAAACCAGAGGATCCAGACTACACTGAGCGCCATCAGAAGCAACAACATCATCTCAGGCTCCCAAAGCAAAACATTCTGGTTAGTCAATGCTCGCCCAGCCAAAAGAGCGCCCCCTAGCAGCACCACATTCAGCCCAAACAGACCAGAGACCAGGCCACGTCCGCTGGGCATCCACTCCGACATCTTCTGCTCGTTTTCAGGGTCTTGGTCTGACGTTTGGTCCATAGCGGAGGATACGGAGAAGTCTGGATCCATGCCAAAAAGGTACTAGTGGGCTATATTTTTGGAGATTTAACTTACTTAATTACTGAAATCAAGCTGGTCACAAATGTTTTACACAAAGTAGCACCTCAAATCCAAGTTAAAACTAAACTGGATTTAAATTTAAACCAAGCTATGCATGCAAAGTAGGCTAAAATACAATCTAGACCTGGACGAACGACTGGAAAACTGGTCAAGTACAAGGTCTAAACCCAGATTAATATAGGACTGAAACAGACTTTTTCACAATATACAAAAAGGAAAAACTAGGACTAAACCAGAATTAAATCAATCATCAAACTGTATAATTATATAATCTAACTCAAAATCAAAACTCGAAACTGATTTTTAAAAATGCCTCAAAAATCAAAACTGCGAAACTTTAGATTTCTTTAAATTTTGCCAAAACTAGATGTTAACTTGAGTTCAACAAAGTCTAAACCTGGACTAAACCAAGTCCAAGACAGGTCTAAGCATGGATTACAATTGGACTGGACAAGTACAAGGTCTAAAGCGGGTTAAATATAGAATTGAAACCAGTCTATTTCGCAATATACAAAATGACAAAACTAGGAATAGCTCAAGACTACAAAGCACCAAAACTATAAAACCAAAACCAAGTCTATACTAGGTCTAAGTCAGGACTAAAGAACAAGGAAAGATACAAATGAAATCAAAACTTAATGCAACCAAACTGACCCAACTTTACCAAATATTCACAAAACAGACTATAAGTACAGACTAAGCACAACAAATTTAACTGTACTGCATCAAAATGTAAACTATGTAAACCACCACACTGATGAAACAAACTATGATTTACAATTCTACAAAAAAAAAAAAGTTTAAAAATCAAAACTTCAAAATTTTACCGAGCACCACCAGAATAAGGCAGCGTACCAGCAGTTGTCCAGGCACCACTATTTAAGAACCACTACTCAAGCTTAAACGTTAAAAGCTCATACGGCCCTCTCCTCTGCGCACACACCTCCACTCTAGCTCAGGTTAAACACAGGTGTGGCTAAAGTCCTGCAGTAAAACTCACGTTTTCAAGCCTGACTCCAGGAAGTAGCTCATTAATCTCTATTGGGCATTTATCAGGCTTTGTTTGAGCTGATATGAATCACACTACACAATGTTACTTATGTTTCACTCACGATTAAAAGGACACTGTGCTGGGAGTGCATTGTAAGGTCAACAGGTGATGGATATTCTGTTTGGAAGGGGGATTTGAAGAGAATTTGTATGTGTTAGATTCCTTTAAAAGACACTATAATAATAATAATGATAATAATAATAATGAAAAAAAGCTGCATTGTGATTGGCTTTTCCAGCTTCGAGGCACTCAGAGAACTTTACATTAAGAACAGCTCATCCAGTATTACTGTTAATATTGTATATTTATTTGTGTTTTTCATGTGGGGAGGATAAAGGGGGGCTTTGGGAATGGGGAGGAGGAGGTGGGTTAAATGTGGCATTTGTATATTTATACATCCTGTGGCATTATTGTGTAGTCAGGCTGGTGCCACCTAGTGCCTCCACTCAATTTCATTTCTCTCCAGCGACTAGGTCAGGAATCAAAATACACTAGACGGTTTGCAAGAACCCCGGAAGTGCAAATTCGGGTACCAGCCAATCAGCGAAGAGTCATACATTCAGCATTGTCAACGATTCCCGAGATCGAGGATTTAAAGCCAAAACAAAGAGAATGTTTGGTGAATTTTATCCAGGGGAAAGATGTCATTGCCCTTCTTCCTACGGGATTTAGGAAAAGCTTAATATACCAGTTAGCCCCGTTAGCGGTGCATTACATACGTCACAACCAAATAGCAGAGACTGGTTAAATGATAAAAAGTACCCACCTACCATCGAGCGAATGAATTCTAACGCTGCGAGGTCAGACGGTTTGTACGAAGTGAAACAAAGTAAAACTGTCTGATGAATCGGCTAATTATTGTGTGGCTGTAAGACCACAATATGGGAAAAATAAAATAAAATATATATGACAAAGTACCACTCATCTATTCACACTCACATTCATACACCAGTGTACACAGACACATAGGGCCGAGGTGGGTTAAGTGTCTTGCCCAAGGACACAACAACAGCATTCATCTGTGGGAATTTGAATGTGTTTATGTTTATGTCGAGATTGGGATTCAAACTGCCAACCTTTGAGACAAATGCTCTTAGTAATCCTGCATTTAAGACTTGAGTGTTCAAAAAATGTCTCTTTTCTCCTATCGCCCTCTCTCTACCCACTGCTCTGTACTTGCTCAGAAAAAAAATCAAACTTCAGGAGAAATACAAATGATAAAAAATAAAATAATAAGGTAAAAACAACAAAAGCTGCTGCTTGCTGTGATGAAATGATATTGTGAAGAGGTTGGATCAGCTACTAATAATCAGTTCTGCAGTCTGCTACAGGGACTGAGTTAATCCATTTTTATTAACATTTTAAATAGTTTTAGATCAATATTGTGTGTCCCCAAATTAGGATCTACAGACTGTTTTAGTGAAAGTGTATGAACAAAACCAGACAAATCTGAATATGTCTTTAATAGGACAATCATCAGAAAGCTCTTTTATGGAAATCCTGTTTCACATCCTGGTTTACATGTTAAAAAGAGAAAAAAAAATAACACAGAGGACTACGATACAGTGTGGATTTCTGTAAAATCAACAAGCAAAGCACTAAATTTTTATTTATCTCAGGTAAAATAGGTTATATATTTTGTTGTGAATATTTGAGAATTTTCGAGAGGATCTGTCGTCAGCATTTGAGAGACAGCGGCTGTGGTTGGACTTTTGTTTTTTGAACCTTCTGGATTCGAACAGAATGTCGAATTGACCGGCTGGTTAGGCACCTCTCCACCCACCACCAACCTCTCTCACATAATTCATTCACCAGTGACATTTATGCTGCAGTTAAAATAAATTACTCAGTTCAATTAGAGCTATAGTAAATAAATAAACTAAAGCGCAGAAACTTTTAAATCATGCCTATAGTTTTGTCCCATTACCTCATTTTTAAACATGTACTTTTTAAATTGTATTCTTTGTACAATGTCTTTGAGTGTTTAGAAAAGCGCTATATAAATAAAATGTAACATTATTAAACCGTGTATACTACTTTTTTATTTTTATGTAGCAACTTTCCACCTTCAAAGAACTCAAAGCTGTTTACATCAAGAAACCACTCACTTTGTTACACCTTCTTTTAATTTAAGTTGATTTTCTATAGTTTTATTATAGTTCTTAGCCTTATTTTATTGTGTGTATTTGTGTTTTATTCTTATATTGCATTTTCATCTGTTTTGTTAAGCACTTTGGGGCAGCACTGTCTGTTTTTAAATCTATATAAATAAACCAATTACTACTAATACTCCTACTACCACGAAACAATAATACTACTCAAAGAACTTCCCCATTAGTTATGCAACCATCAATCTGTGTGTTTACAAGTGGAGTCTGAATCGAACAGTGGCTCATTTATTACATTACTACTACTACAATAAAACTTATCAGCAAACAAGGTTATTAAATCATTAGTACGCATTGATCATTGATAAGTAGCCTAATTTGTAACGTTATTAGAAATACACTTCAGGACAAAAGGATACAAGAAAGCAAAATATAAATGCTATCTTTTATTATACATACTCTGTCTGGTTTCTGTTAATGTTGGTTTTGAATTTAAATCAATAAAAGGTTATGTAATGGGCTTCTGTTTGCAATAATTAGAGGGAGTTTGATAAGAAAGTTATTTTAGTGTCATTGCCCTATTGTGTTTTATTGCATTTGTATCATTAAGAAATACAGAACATAAAAAAAGCGACATCTGCTCGTTATTAGTCCAGAGTTCTTTGCTCTGACATTTTCAGCTTTTTGGAGTGCATGTAGTCGATATTGCCACAAGAGGGAGCTCAGTCCTAAGTTTTATCGTCCGTTACGTACACACTATGCCTCATCTTTTGGACTAATCACTATTATATAAATTAAAAGGTACGGTATATAAGCTTCTGCAAAATTTCCATGGAATCAAGCAAGAGGCCTTCCCCCAGTTATGTCTATGGAGATGCAAGCCCGCTCAGAGAAAAGACCCATGTTTATCAGTGCAATAAACACAGTCAAATGATAAAAGGACTAAAAAGTTACACAGTGTGGCTTTAAAACAAGTAAAAAATACAGTTTGTGGAGAATCAAAAATATTTAAACAGACTTGACATGACATAAATAGCTTGTCACAACTGAATAAGATATTACTATGTGAATACTACACTCACTGGAGTTTGGTTTCATACATTCATACTTCTGAAACTGAGGCTGTACAAGGCTATTTAAGGCCACTGTGCTTACCACAAAATAATTTCTACAGAATTACATCTACGTAAAATTTGAAAGGCCTGTTTCCCTCTTAATGAGTTTCAGGTTCCTTTTATATGCAACATTTTGAAAACTTTTCCATTGCAAAAGATATATTTTTTTGCTTGAAATTGTGAATCACTAATGGCAAATAATCCAAATTATTTATTATTGTGGCCACACTGGTTTGTCAAATACTGATCCCATCAGATCTCAGAATCTAAGCAAGGCCAGGCCTGGTTAGAACTTGAATGGGCCACTGGGGAAAATCAGGTGCCACAGGGGGGCACCAGTGGCAAAACTGTCATTGTGTCATTTAGGCAAAACACTTCACCCACATTGCCTAGTAGTGAGTGAGTGAGTGATGATGGTGGTTGGAGGGGCCGATAGCGCAGATTGGCAGGCATGTTTCCATCAGTCTGCCCCAGGGCAGCTGTGGCTACAGTAGCAGTTTACCACCACCGGGTATGGAGTGAATGAATAATAATCTGTAAAGCGTCTTTGTGACATATGTCTGTTAAAAGCTCTGTATAAAATAAACGTACTTACCTCCGACTTATCATTCTGAAACTCATGGGTAAAGCACAGTGACATAATGCACACGCTAGAAAACACAGCCCAGTTTTTAGATAGTAAATTAATTTTATAACTTTTTTATATAAGAGCCTGTGATCAATACAACTACAAAACTGTTGGCAAATGCTACCTAGCTACAAGTTAATGTAATGGGACTTTTTAACAGTGCTAATCAGCTCATCTGTTGTAGTTCTACCTAAATCAGTTCTTTATGGTCAGATTGTGTTAAAACAAAGCCTAACTTGTGTAACAGACCTTCAGACAGAGCAGTGTCTACATTTAGGAATACTGATGACATATATTTGTAAAATGTATTATAGCCCCTCCTTCAGCAGCATCTTGAGACTTTAATCCGCCGAAAGGTGCAGCAACAGACAGATCAGTGCCTCAAGTTAACTTCACAAGTTAGCTGAACGTTATTATAGTCTATGTTTCCCTCCTTCACCAGTGTCTTGAGAAATGTCTGGTGTCTTTTATCAGCCAAAAAGTGTTGAAACACACAGTGGCTCTAGTTAGCTTCACCCCCTCAGAGTTCAAAGTTTTATGTTTTTCTCCTTCCACAGCATCTCGAGAAACGTCTTACATCTTTTATCAACCAAAAAGTGTTGAAACAGACAGATCAGTGCCTCTAGTTAGCTTCACCCCTCAGAGTTCAACGTTATCAAATGTTTTCCTCCATCAGCAGCATCTTGACAAACGTCTTGTGAGAAATGCCTTGTGTCTTTTATCAGCCGCAAAGTGTTGAATACAGCGAGACAAGGTGCAGGCCACCCACAGACACAGGCTTCACATTCCTGTCCACACTCAGGACATCCTACAGTAACTGGAGAGCGAGGGGTCACTGTGATGTCTATATCCAGATCAGGGCGGACGGACAACGCACAGGCTGTGAAGAGGTGAGGGGATCCGGGGTAAAGGTCAGAGCGGCCTGTCAGCAGATTCAGAGGAGTTTCAGAACATATTGGTGGATAACTACTATATATTTTCGTTATCATTTAATACATGATAGACAGAGCCAAAATTTTGGGGGACCAATATTATTTTTGCTGTTTGTTATTATAATATGTTGTGATTTGTGAGTTATTGTGTCCAAATAATTACCCTTGTGGATCAATAAAGGATAATTTATTAGATTACTACTACTATTTCTGCCACTACAACTACTACTACTACTACTACAATAAAAGCTATCAGGAAATAAGGTTATTAGATCATTAGAATTCAAAAAAACAATGCATAGTCTGAAGAGGTGAGGTATTCAAAACACATTTATAGATTTCAGATTTCTGTTCCTGTAAATGTCACAAAGCGGCGGTCAAAACCATGAGTCATTCAAGTAGCTTTTATCTGAGGTTTTAAAGTGCCATCAAAACAGAACTCACTCTGAATGGTTAGTCATTTAAAGGTGCACTGCTTAACTTTTCAGGTTGAGGGTCTGCTACCATGGAGATCCTATTGCTATACCTGTTATGTTCCTCAATAAGGTATTAAACTTATATAAGATGCATTTATTTAGTTATGGGTTTTTACTGTGAGTCACCTCCTTGCAGATCTCACCTGTAAATTAGCCTGGTGGCGTCTCCTGCTTGTTTCTACGGACATTGAAAAGTTTAATGCCATACTTTGGAATATTAGAGGTAAAGCAATAACATCTTCATGGAGACAAGAAACTGAAAAGTTACACAGTGCAGTTTAAGTAACATTGATAGACAATTTAACTAGTAAATGTACTAATTCAACAAAAAGCCTGAAGAGAAATATTTTTGACTAAGGCTGTGCAATTAATTGAATTTTGATCAAGATTTCGATTTGTGTGTCAAACTATCTCCAAACTCATATAATCGAGTTAAAACAATTAAGCTGAACAAAGGGATATTTATAAATATTTTTAAATATAAATAAGTATATTTATTTTATTTTTAAATATAGAGATTGTAGGACAGCTGGATATATAGTTTATTTTGGATGCATTTATGTTTTTCTCTGCCTTATTTCATGTCCAAAGTGTATTTTATTCATTTTATGTTTTATACATCGCAAAACTGTTCTGAGGTTCATATTTGTAGCCTATATTTATTTACAATTTAAAAGTTTTGCATAAATTATCAATAACAAGTGTTTTTTTGAGAGAGAAATACTGAATAATTGTTTGAACAATAGTGATTTCAATATTGATCAAAATAATCATGATAATGATTTTTTTCCATAATCAAGCAGCCCTAGTTTTGACACTTCTGGACTAGACCCTATAACAAAACTGCATTTTTACAATATTCATTTTAGCTGCCTCTCATTTGTATTCAATTTTATTCACGTTGTGCCTTGTTCCCGTCCTGAAGACACCCAAGTGACCTAAGAACTACAGACCCATAGCACTGACCTCTGACCTCATGAAGACTCTTGGAGCAGCCTACAGTGAAACATCTACAGGACCTCCTCGAGTTCACCTACCAGCCCGACCTCGGAGTAGACAACGCCATCATCTATCTGCTCCACAGAGTCTTCACCCACCTGGACAAGCCGCCCACCACTGTAAACAACATCTTCTTGATTCTTACTGTAAATATGACATCATCAGGTTGTCTCTGCACTGGAGAAGCTCACAGTGATGCAGGTGATGTTCCTCTGGCGTCCTGGATTGGGCATTACTGTACCTCTGTATCTGATACCTGGATCTCCAGAGGGGATTGTCCTTTCCCCTTTCCTTTTCACCCTCTACAGCAAAGAACAAAGTCAAACCAAGTCAAAGCAAGAACACAAAGATCAACAATAACAGTAGAAAGGCTAAACATCAAAAAGAATAAAATGGGTTATGTAATAAAATATTTTGAAAAGTATTATTTGACACAGCCAGCATTCAATTTATGAAACTTGGAGAGCAGCTGCAGCTCAGTTATGCACAAATGCACTTAAATTCTTATTTCATATCCTAGGTTATCTACTTTTAGCCAGGCTGGCACCACCTAGTGCCTCTGCTCAATTTCATTTCTCTCCAACGACTAGATCAGGAATTGGAATATAATAGGCGGTTTGCAAAAAACCCAGAAGTGCACCAGCCAATCAGCGAAGAGCCAGACATTGTGTTGGCAACGATTCCTGAGATCAAAGATTTAAAGCTGGAACAAAGAGAATGTTTGGTGAATTTTATCAAGGGGAAAGATGTTACTATCCTTCTTTTTATGGGATTTGGGAAAAGCTTAATATACCAATTTTTTTTAAAGTGCCTGCCTACCATTAAGCAAACAAATCCTAATGCTGCAAGGTCCGAAGGTTTTTACGAAGTGAAACCGGCTGATGAATCAGACTAATCAACTTTAATACCACAGAAAAAAAAACAAAAAAACATATTGTCCAGAAAGTTACATGTCAATATTCTACAATTATGCCTTATGTAAACTGCTTTTAATAAACAACTAAAAAAGTACAGTGCATGTTAAGATTATTGCTCACTAGTTCAGCCTTTATAGACCTGCATTTGATAGATGGTGAAGTCAAACATAAAATGCAAGAGGCAACATTATCATGTAATACAATTTGGTCATAGTAACCAAACAAATGAACAGAAAGTATCATGCAGTATCTGAAAGGCTAAATATTGTCTGATTATATATTGAGTTAAACCAAAATCACGTCTAAGTTTCAGTTTGTAAAAGGCACGTGTTCTGTTTATGCAATAATTATTATATGTTACTCATCCTCATAGTAACTGCAGCAACAGGAAGTGCATGTAACGTCAAATGTTTACTCAAGATTTTAAACGCATGTACTTCCTCACTTCTTTTCTATTTGGTCTCTTCCTTTTTAGGCAATGGCCCGCTGCTCTGGCCCCTCTGGGATCTGTGTGAATTCCTGAACTGCCTGGCTTCACAGTTGGTTTTCAGCCTCCAAACCTGAATGTGTTTTTATTGTTTTTTTCAGGGCTGTAAGGTGGAGCAGAAATGTGCCCGTGCCACTTTAAGACTAAACAAATGTGAGGGTTGTGTGGTCATGCAGGAAGTCACTGGTGCTGTAATACAAACATATAGGCTACAGCACACGCGTATTATTAGGTTACGAGGTTAGTTTGAAGTAAAATAGAACGTAAACTTCACTAAAATTCACATAAGTAAGCATACATTTGATTAGGCAACTATTTGAGACTATAATGTTAAAGAAAGCATACATTTTAGCTCTACTTTGTGCACTTCTATCTTGTATTTATGCATTTTTACTTCTAAACTACCTTGAAAACATGCCTTCTTGCATAAATTGGACTCACCTCCCCACAGATCTAACCCGTAAGCTGACCTGGTGGCATCACACATGACTTAAATGCTAGTGGAACATTCCAGCAAAGCGATAACATATCTGTGGAGACAAGCAGCTGGAGGATCCACTGCCAGAAAAGTTACGGTGTACATAAAACTTATAAAAGTGAAGTTAAATTATTTTCCAGATAAAACTTGAAGCCTACAGACTGAAGTTTTATTAGTCCATATAAATGTTTATAGCCCATATACTCTAATGTCTATTAATTGAACTTTTAATTAAATGAGTTAAAATGTGTTTATATTGTAGGAAATGTTCTAAATTATAAACCAAACCCATGTAGTTTTTACAGAAAATATTTCGCCTGTACATTCCATTCATTTCGGCCGGCTAAGCCTATTTATACACAGACTGATCTAACCTCAACTTCTTCTTTTTATGGCTATACTTATTGAGTTTTTTTTACTTCAAAGTAATATCCTGTCCCGCAGTGTTTGTTTCTGCTGTGGTCTGCTATCTACTATGTCAGCCACGCCGCCTCAATTCCTGCCAAAACGACGCATGTTTTACCGATTACTCGACAGCTGTTGGAATCCACCACTTTACTCACAGTAGACAAACGTATTTCCCTTTTTAGGACATGGGGATCTATTACGTAATTTAGGAAGCCCACTTGGATCTGGAAAAAAAAAAAAAGGAAAAAAAGAAAAATGGAACTCGGCTTGTGTGGAAGTGGGCGGGGTTTTGCGAGACTGGCGGCGAGGTGAACCAATCGAATGCGTGGAATGCCGCCGAGCTGCTCTGTGATTGGTCGGAATCCCTGCTTGCGTCGCGTACGTCTCTCCCGCTCCGTTTCTGGCAAGGAGTTTGATGGTTAGTAGTTGTAGTCGTCTCATCGGGGAGGCTACCCTGAAACTATCCCGGGACGTAGGAGATCTCATTGAAGCTTTTTAACGCAACTTTTCGGAGTTAACTTGCAGTAAAGTTGGTTATTTCTCCCTCGGACCGTCAACGAAAACCGCAAACATGCCTGTCTTTCACACCAAGACGATAGAAAGTATCCTAGAGCCCGTAGCTCAGCAAATTTCACATCTGGTTATCATGCATGAAGAGGGTGAAGTTGATGGGAAAGCTATACCGGATTTGACCGCCCCTGTAGCCGCTGTCCAAGCCGCAGTGAGCAACCTAGTCCGGGTAAGCCACTTTTTTACCTGTCGCTTGTTTGCCCGCATGCTTCCCCCCATACAATCCTGCTCCAATTTCGACCCCAGAACTCCAGCTAACACACTCAGTTCACTTTCGGTCTCACGATAGCTTTATTTAGAGTTTATTAAAGTAGTTTGACACGGGGCAAAGGGCACAAAGTTACGCCCTTGAAAGCGTGCATTGCCCCCGCCTGCTTGTCCTGCCAGTCCCCGGGTAGACACAGTAGTAGGTTGGGCTACTGTGACTCAACCAGGTAGTTCTGGGTTCTGTAATTCATAAATACTCCCTCCATAACTCAATTTGACGCCATAAAACGCCACTGCAATCATATTTATCTCACTTTTTAGCTCGAGTAATGTTGTAGTTGTGCAGTTAGCAGCCATTAGCCTGTCAAAAGTGCCAGTCTAATGCCAACCAAGCCCTAAATAAGTCATAGATATTAGTCACCTCGTTTCCCCTATAAATGACTGCACATCTAAAACCTTAAAAGGCTTTATGAATGTATTTCCTCATTTAATACAAAGTGAAGTTTAGATTTTTGTCCATAAATGATTCATTGTGTTGTCATTCATTCATTTTAAGATAACAGAGATTGTCCAATATCAGCAAGAAAGGGTTAGCGTTTGCAGACTTCCACTTGCAGTTCTCTAAATTATATTCCTATATTACACAAACTGGATTATTGTGATAGTTAAGACGTGTTATAATGTTGTTATCTCATCAAAAACACACCTGGAGTTGTGTTTTTATTCACGCATGATTGAGTAACACTGCGTTATTAGTCCGTCTACATCTCCCAAGCTAAAAAATGCTCTGTCTTTTACCTTTTAGATCAGCAGAAATTGGCAATTCCAGGGCTAAAATTATCCAAATTATCCTAGTGAAGGTGTGTGGTGTTTACAGTTTGAGAGAACTCGGCCTAAATATGCAAAATGTGTGTGTTAAACGTGTGAATGAAATAAAACAAAACTTCAGGTCTGTTTTGGATGAGGAAACAACTTTAAAACATAGCTCAGAAAATAGTGTAATATGGGCCCTTTAAGTTATGTAGACAGTTACACCTTTATTTATGTTATTATTATTGTATTAAATGTTGTAACATGCACTCCAAAAGTCAAATATACGAACATCAACAATATTGAGATGTAAATATTATATCACTGTAGTGTATATTGGTGGTGTTCGTGTCAAAATCAGTATGTATTGTATTATTTTGTTGTATCGGAAACGTTCCCAGACACACCAAGCTGATAATCTTTCTGAGGATTTTATTGTAAATGAGCAGTGAAGCTAAAAGGATGTCTGTTTGTATAACACAATGTCAACCTTGCTTTAGATTTGATTTTGATAACATCTGCAAATATGGGTTGATAGCGACAACAGATGTAGACAAATTCAGGATGTCAGTATCAACAAAAACAAAAAAAACATATAGGAGCAGCTATATGCTTTTGGTAAACAAAATTTGCCAAAACAAAATGTCAGATGTGGATTTTGACATACCCCCCCCACCCCTTCCTTCTTATATAATTGCGAAACCAATTCTGTGCCCACAATGACATAGTTGAAGCTTTGTCCCATTAATTACCATTTCCAGTGAGTTTATTTTTAAAACATGAGTCAAATGAACTCTTTAACCAGATACAGCTGTGTTTTGAAATAAATTCAGAAGAGACTCCCCCATAAAATAGGGGTTCATTGGGGATAGTCCCTCATAACTTTGGCAGGAAATGTATCATCAGATACTCAGCACTTTGTTTTGCCAATACATTTGACTGCAATCTGATCTAAGCACATTTTTACTTCAAGTAGTTCTTGATTTAGTTGAGTTCTTCTTAATTGTATGTGGTTTAGTCTTGGTTTAGTCTTGGTTTAGTCTTGGTTTAGTCTTGGTTTACTCTTGGTTTACTCTTGGTTTGGTCCTGGTTTGGTCCTGGTTTAGCCCTGGCTTAGTTTTGGTTTAGTCCTTGTTTATTCCTTGTCCTGTGATTGTTTTAATCCTGGTTCCGTCCGGGTTCAGTCCAGGTTTAGTCCTGGTTTAGTCTTGGCTTGGTCCTGGTTTGGTCCTGGTTTAGTCCTGGTTTGTCCTGGTTTAGTCAATGTTTCATCCTGATTTAGTCTTGGTTTATTTGAATCTTCGTTTAGTCCCGGATCGGTCCTGGATTGGTCCTGGTTCGGTCCTGGTTCGGTCCTGGTTCGGTCCTGGGTCGGTCCTGGGTCGGTCCTGGGTCGGTCAGTCCTGGTTTAATTGAATCTTTGTTTAGTCCTAGTTTAGTCATGGTTAAGTCCTTGTTTCATCCTGGTTTAGTCCTGTTTTAATCAAATCTTTGTTTAGTCCTGGTTCAGTCCTACTTTAGTCCTGGTTTAGTCTTTCACATTTACGTTTACGTGCCCAAATAATTTCCCAATATACTGAGAAAATTTAGAAAACTTGTTCTTTAACATATTATCAATTCTCTTATTGCATTATCCAATTGCATTTAGGATCAGACCGGGGTTGTTGAGTGTGGCCGGTCCGTGTGAGACTCATTTGTTGTGGGATAAATTTGGAGAATTGCCCTGGCGTCCCTGGAGGAATGTTTGGAGGAATGCTTACCATTAGCCCCGGAGTTTATTTAGGGGTATTTATAGCTGCAGGGTCCAGTCGTACGCATTATGTAAATGGATGCAGCACTAAACTTCCTATTGACACTGGTACTGAAAGATATTAAAAAGGTCTCGCTTTGAAGATTAAATATTACAGGAGCTGATTTCTGACTGAATTGTTTTACTTTATCTCTTTGCAGCTGATGGCATCAACATTCCCTGGGGGTGTGATGCTAACTGTAGGCACTGCTCTGTCTGAGGTTCTGTTACTCAAGTTAGTAGAGGTGTAACGATATCCAAGTCTCACGATACGATATCTTTACGGTATGAACCTCACGGTGCGATACTTATTGCGATATCATGGGAAAGCTTATGATATGGTGGGGAGGCTCACGATTAGGGATGTAACAATATCCAAATCTCTCTGTACGGTATTTTATATACATCTCACGGTACGATATTTATTGCGATATTTCGTGGAGGCTAAACAGCTCAAACTGTGAATATGCTACTTAAAATTCCTTGACAAGACTTAATCCAAAGAACTAAGACCTAAAAGTGTTTAGAACTGTTATTTCTTCTTGCAGTCTGCACTGAAAAGGAGCAAAGGATCATGGTCTATGTAGTTCCCTCTGTCGTTTTTTAGAGACTTGTAATTGGACATACTGTGATGGTCCACGATATTATTGTGAGAACTTTGACGAGATGATATCATGATATTTCGGTTATTGTTACATCCCTACAAATTAGACTTTAATCTGAGCGTTTTAGCACATCGGGCCCAGAAAGAACTGATTTAGCCTGAACTACAACAAGTGAGCTGAATTTAAGTTAAACACGTCCCTCCTTTTTGTTGAAAATTAAACGCCTAAACAAGACCATGAACGCGTATTGATCGCAGACTCCTGAAACTGTTTGTAATTTGTTCCGTTTTTCAGACACTTTCAGACATCTAAACACTTTTTTGGCTCTGTTTGTTAATGTGTGAATTGTCACCATGGTAACTAACGAACATTTCGCCACACAAATACATGTAGAAACCCCCCAGCGTGATTTTAGTGCAGACTATCAATAGATGAGCCACAGCTGCCCTGAGTGCCGCAAATCTGTGCCAATCGCATTTCTAACCAGTCCCACACACTGTATTTATACACAAGGTGGAAGTCTTGCCAAAGAGCACAACAATAGCAGTATGCAGTATTGTTTTGTTTTTTACAGATCACAAGCAGATTTTCTTTATCCTTACATCCAGACCCTAAATCTTTCGCCACTGGATTAACTACTAGACATGCAGCTGTGAATAATTCCCCAACATCTGGCAGAAAAAGCCTGTCCTACATAAAAGAAAATGGATTTGGGGACAAATGAAAAGAAAAACATCAAATAAATTTTAATTCAAACATTTAGAAACTCTTTAATCTTTCGTGCAGAGTCGCAAGATCAATCTAAATCAAATTAAAATTACAAAAATGAACGGATACAATTAGGAAATCGCAAATGCTGCAATTTTTTTAAGTACCACAATTTCATCTACAAACAAAATATTCTGTCTTAATCATTCTGCATAAAAGACGCAATCCCTGTAGTTTAGATCTGTACAAAATGTTCTGAAATGTGATTCTTGTATTAGTTTATCAGTCCCTACTTCAGTCTTTCTATCTAAAATGAACTTTTAACAGAATCCTATTATTAAAACCAAAATTGCAAATCTAACTAAATAGCAGTTTGATATTTTTTTAACCATTACATAATGTTGTTAAAGCATATTAAAGCAAGTTGTTAAGAGGGCTGATAGGACGTGTAAACAAGCTTGAGTTATAAGGTGATAATGTATCGGGGCCAAGTGTCTCACAGCTTGTTTTGGATTTCCTTCGTCCCCCGGTGGCCAAATCGTCATTGAATACAACTGTAAATGGAGCTACCTCCTCCTGCACCAGCACTAAAGCTCCTTACCTCCTGATTCTCAACATGGTCTTAAAGGTGCACTGTGTAACTTTTATGGTGGAGGGTCCGTTACCTCTTCATCTCCGTGGAAATGTCGTTGCTTTTTTACAGAATGCGCCGCAGTTTTGGATTAAGCTTATCTTTCTCCATGCAGACAAAAAAGTGACACCACCGCACCAGGTTACACGTCAGAAAACATTGAAAATTTGAAAAAAATGCAAGATAGATTTAATGCTAGTTTAATGCTACCGTGGAACATTTCAGGCAAAACAATAACATCAGATGACAGACTCCAACAGTAAAGTTACACAATGCTCCTTTTATGTGTGTACATTGATACTTTACAGTGACATCACGTTGGGGGTGTTCTACGTTCACCTCTACTGGCAGAATGTTCAACAGTTACCATGATCATACAATGCTCACATGTTGTAATTCCAGCCAGTCCAGCCAAAGTG